AATAATAATAATAATAATAATAATAATAATAATAATAATAATAATAATAAATAATAACTATGAAATAAAAATGTAAAAATAAAAAATAAATTAAAAGCTTTTATTTTTTCACTGTGGGAGAAAACAGGAGAAACCAAAGATAACTCACACACAAATAGCTCATTACTGGAGTTGTTTTATACCTTTAAACAAAGCCGCTGCTTTCAGTCATATCCCTCCTTTACTGACAGTGAAACGCAGTGCTGTCACAGCATTAGCTACCCCTTTCATTACCAGAAGAGCAGGTTCATAAAATCCACTTGCCAATTCCCTCATACTCTGCTCCAGCGAGCAAAATGCCCCCATCAATATCCAGGAAAGGACATATTGAAAATTCCTTTAAGCAGCCGCGTCACCCAGGGCCTGTCCACATTTCATATTATCGGACAGCAGCTTCAAGACAAAAAGTCTAGTGAGCGGCCCGGCAGCTGGTTTGAGTCAGAGACATTTACAGTAAACAACAGTCTCCCGTTAAAGGGGCCAAATTGATCGGTTGCTCCTGCTCATTCGTTCTCCCGGCCGCCCCCGTTTCCTCAAATTGGCTTGACCTATCCCTGCTGGCATCGTGAGGGAGCGTGGATAGTGTGCGGGGTTCCCGCCCCGGAGGATATAAATACAGGGAGAGGAAGCTTTGCCAGAAATTACCCTGATCCTGATTCTGTGTCATTATCTGCACTGGACTCCAGGCTTATTTGATTCCCGGCACCATGAAGGTACGTACAAAAGGAAAGGGAGAAGTTTTGAGCTCATGATTTTTACTCTGAAAAGTTTTCAAAAGTTTGATTCCTCATCGATATCATTTTTAAGTGATTTTGCTTGTTTTTTATTTTTCCAGGGTTTATTGAAAAAAACTTCTAAAGTAGTCTTTAATTTATATTTCATATAATTTTTGCGTAATTTATTATTTTAGAAAGTTGTGTCGAAAAACATTTTATCCGACTGAAAAGATCCTGAGCGTGTTTTTTAAGCATTGCTGAGAAAATACTTTACAGTTTTGACCAAATCTTTAAGACGTTCATCCAGTCAAAGTCGTGTTCCTGTGCTCTAACTCAAGAATGTGACTGTGAATTTGAAATAAAACGTTCATTTTGACTAACTTTTTGTTCCCACAGGGTTTTAGGATTATCACTTTAACCCACGGACTCACACTTTTACTATTGGCAGCTTTTATCTCGCAGTCATGGAGTGCACCCAAGGTACTTCCGTTTACAAAACAAGGAGAAATTTTTCCTTAACCATTAAATATTCCGAGCTCATAATCTCCATGACGAGGTTAATCAGTTAGATTGTGAGTCAGTAAAGCAGTTTTCATGCATCATTGCATCAGTCTGAAAGCTTTTCTTTGTGTCGCTCAAAGGGCTCCTTCCAGAGGAGAAACTGGACCCCACAAGCTATGTTATACCTGAAGGGCACACGTATGTATACAGTTTCTTGATTTCAGACCCACTGGCCTACATAATAGATAAGGCAGATTTAAAAGTAGCCTGGTTTAACGCGCTGTCTGGGGAAGACCGGACAATGTGTCGGAATTTAAATTCAGAGGCTTGTTATTGTCGAAGGAACTTCAACTGACTTGTTAAACTTTTTCTCAGAGGGACGTAGGTTCATCTCTGAGGACCGAAAAGAGGGAGATGTCTATGACACGCTACACTTAGGTACAAACAAAGTTTGTTCGGCTCAATCTGTCTCTTTTAGCTAAAGCAGCTTCGGTTGAATTAATAATCGTTGAGACCAGGACAGTCTCTGGTGCCTGCGACCGTCTTATAGGTGGAATCCTGTTGGCGCCCGTAGCCGGCGCTTCGTTTTATGAATTCTATTCGCTTTTTTTCAGAGACCCGCAGCCAGAACACTGAGAAGCTGAGCGTGGACCAGGCAGCCACCGTCCTGCTCAACTTCCTGCAGCAGGCCAGAGAAGGTGAGGACACATCAACCGCTTAGCGGTCGAAACCTTTTTTATCAGCGGAGCATTGCACGTTTTTTGGTTTGTGATTGTTCAATTTTGGTCTCGTTCCTCTAGCTGATGAAAACCCAGATGACCTATATTTTCAGGAGCTTCCGGTGTGGAAGAGAGAGTACTTCTGAGAGCGCCCATACAGCCGCCGGTCATCGTCTCTCGTTTGAAGTGTCAAGTTTTGTGTGATGGAGACAAACAACTGCTTTGTAAATGTAATTATCTATCTGTGAATGTAATTGAAATTTTAAATAAAAAAGTTTAATTCATAGCATTTTTTTACTCAGAGATTGCCGGAAGTTTTAATCAAAGTGTTGTTTTAATCATCGTCGAGTTTCTTGCAGAAGGTGGGAAGTGGCAATGTGTTATAATACTTTTAGTTTAGTAAATTAATTCAGTAAAGCAGATATCTAAATTTAGGGTGCGTTTTTAAAACTCAAAATCTTTTTTCTTTTTTTTTTTCTTTGTCCTGCAACTGAACAAAGGAAAACTTTATGGCTGAGAACAACAAAACGATAGATTCAAAGATGAGAAATCCTACAAACTAATGTTTGACAAGGTTCAGCTGTTGAATGGAAACTGATTCTAGACAGTATATAAAGTATTTTTTTTGTTTCAGATGGTTAATAATTATATTATATTATATCATATTATATTATATTATATTATATTATATTATATTATATTATATTATATTATATTATATTATATTATAATAATCAATACAGTGTGCAGAAATTGAGTTTTCCACATTAAGACTAATGTTTGACTTGGAACACAATTAAAGAATTTACATACTTTACAGACACGATTTTTTTTAACATTAACTAAAGATTAAATGTAGTTAATTTTGTGGTTGAATTTTGAGACATTTCTCTCTGTTTCATATACAAAAGAAAACGGTAACAAAACGGAAACTGTGTGGGAGGGGAGGCAGAGTAAAATTCAAACAAGTGTTCACTATGACTTGCTGTAACATCACAGAAACAGGGAGATATAAGTTGGATGGAGAGAAAGGATATAGAATGTGAAAGTACATCCTCCCAGGTTTTGTTTTGAGAACGTAAAAGCCATCGTATCAGGAAGACAGCATGAGTCTGAGCCCAAAAAAATGCAGTCACGTAGTAAATTTTGGCAAAGTGTCAGTGTCAGTGTGTGAGTCAGTGAAATACACACTACCGTTATGCTATCATCTACAAGAAATGATCAAAACTGAAATCATTACTTTCATTTACTTAATTTTGTCAGCACTAATATAACACCTGGCCTTTTTGTTCAGTTTTCCAAGATTGTTTGTTTTTAACTTTATCTAAAGAATCTATATTTCCTCTTAGTTTTGCCACATATTTTTTTTTTTTTTAAAGCTAAAACAGCTTGGTATTATGGTCGTCAACAGTCGTACTGTTTGTGGCTCAGATTTCCTCAGACTCTCTAAAGCAAAGATCTTTACAACATTCAAAATGATTATTTTATTGACAAAAAAGTATAACGCAGAAAAACATCCCCACTTGGAAATACTAAAACATTTGGAAATGCTGTTATATTAAATCCTGATACCCTCACCAGTCACCAATTAATATGCTGATTTTTTCATTTTCTACAAAGCCATTTTCTGTATATTCTACAAACTCTTCTATCCCGGCTAATTGTGCATGTAATGTCGGCATCATATTTTAAGTGTAATTGCATTTTTTAAAACAAATTAAGTTAGTCAGTAATTGACCATTTGTTTAGATTAATTTATGTAATGCAAACACTTCAAACCAGTTAAAAATGTATTTTCATTACATCATAAACTTGACAACTTGTTTCGGAAGTTAAGTTTGGAATTTATTTCAATTTGTATTTCAAACAGATTTCTGAAAGTACATTTAAACCAATCATATTGGCGAGTCAATTACCTGGACTAGCTACTTTCAGTCCAAAATATATCATGATGCAGTGGGCAAATTATGAAGTTTTAAAGATAAACAGTTGCTCTGAGGAGCAGGCTTTCTTTAGGACTAAGCACAGTGATTGGAGAAATTTAAGTCAAGGGAATATCAATATCTATTAGATATATATATATTTTTTTTTTTTTTCCTCATAATATAGACATATGTGTACTAGATCATATATAGACACATTTTGAAAAACACAATTTATCTACGACTAATTATTTAATTTTTGGTTCTGAAAACTGATATTTTGTAGCATAAAATAAAGACATTCCACATGTTCACTGCCCAAGTTCTTTATGCAAAACTGAGACGTGAATCACAAACTGAATCCAACAATCCCATGCAACATTTTTGTCTCTAAAACTTTGCAAACTTTAGTATAAAACCTTTGTTGCTTAAAGTTGATCTTGTTGGCCCTCTAGTAGTACAAGCAGTTTGTTTATTACTTGTAGGGGGAAGACGTGTGTTCTCCATAACAACATTTGACAGCTTCTTTTAGTTGCACAATCTTTTTTGAATGCTCGTCAAGCACAAGCAGGAGCTTGAAAGTGGAAGATGGTGAGTTCAGTTTCCTGACTCTCCTGGCTGCTTCTTCTTACCCTCTGGGACGGATCCTAGCACGAAAGGTGACTTGATGTTCAGTCGGTCCCTCTCGGCCTCCTCCTCTTCATCGTAGGGTTCATCGTCATCTTCCGCATCACTGTGGTGCGGGGTGGAGTGGATGGAGGCAGAGGGGGAGGGAGGCACTGAGGCAGGTCGGGGGTATCGGAAACCCTGTGTCTGTAAAGTCGAGGCAGTCCCGGTTAACGCAAAGTGTTTTGTTGCACCAATATTATGCATTTTCATCATATTTTTTACTCAACTTTATTTTTTTTCCTCTATATTTCACGTCCCTCCCCAACACTGCTTCTTTTACAGGTCTTCCCTTTTTTTTTGCCATTTTCTTATCAAATTGACCCCCTCGTGCTATTTCTGCCTTACAATGTTTCCCTCATTTGCCATCACCTTTTTTTAATTACAAACCCATTTAATTTTCACATGAATTTCTAACATACTGATGCAGGTCTTCTAGGTGAATATGTAAAACTAAGAGCTGTATATCAGGCTAAGCTGTGAAAACAACAAATTCTGTTGAGTGTGTGTATTTACAGGAAATAAGAATGTACACAGAATTTCGCTGTAAAAATTTTTTAAGCAAACCTCCTGCTTACTGTGACACTCAGTCCCAAAAACAGTATCTTAACAGTATGTACACATCTAACCAAAGAAGTGATCTTGATTAATCCATTAGTTCAAAAATTTCCTTTTAAACTTAGTCTCACCTTCAGAGGTGCCATAGGATCCAAACTGAACTTGTCTGGGAAAGCTCTGCTAAGGGCCAAGTGGCGGGCATGTATGTAGAACTGTCAATCATAGATAAATCAGAAATACACATACCCATCAGAAACACCTTAATTGCTGCAAAGTAAGATAACTCTTTAGGAACAGATAAATACATTTATAGTAGATAGCAATGCCATTTTTCGAATTCTTATTCAGATGACATAAAAAATTAGTTTGTGTTTTCTTACTTTTAAGCTGGACTGGTCAAATATGGCTCAGTCACTTACATTTAAAAGGCTCCCTCTAATTCAAAATGTTGCACTGAAGATGATATGCTGACTCAGATTTATTCTAATGTAATATATAATAATTGTGCAGCTTAGCGCTTTTATGTTTTGCCTTCCTGTTAGTCAAACAGAGACTTACCCGTCCCAGGTATCTCCAGTCCATCAGTTCGGACAGCCTCTCGGTTCGGTTCCGCTGGATAATGCGCTGACGCCGAGACTGCTGGCAGAAACTAAACATGAACTGGGTCAGCTGATTACAGGACTCCTCAGGGGATCTGTACCGTCGATCCACAATGTAGATACCTGACAGTGAGAGCAGCACATGGAAAACGTAAAGCCTTAAAGTGCGAATGTGTGTGCGTGTGTATGTGTGGGTGTCTTTTTCTGCATACAGACCATAGGCAGCAGGTTCTGAAACATGCTCCTCCATAAAACAGCCGAAACCTGACAGGTTGGTGGTCACACTAGGGATCCCCATGACAGTGCACTCACCTGAAAAATAGAGAATTCATCAAATATAGATGTTTAGATGTTGCAAAAAGAATCAACCACGTCATCCAAAGAAAATTGACGCCCCAAAAGAAATACATGATCTGCTAACAAGGTTGAAAGGCAACCTTTGGGGTGCTTCTGGAGTAATAAATGTTTGATACCTTTATCCTATGTTGAAATCTCATTGAATTGTAGGTGTGGTCTATCATTAGAACACATTATCAGTCATTGATTTACAAATTATGTGGACTAACATAATCCTGAGATCAGTGCAACAACCTCCACATGCACTCCCTGACTTTTTAAAACCGATTTAGTTTAATTGTATTTATTCCCATTGTTTATCCATGGTTACTCTTCTTCAAAGACAAACAATCAGCCCACAGAGAACAGAATTCGCTCCTCAAATGGGATTAAATACTCCCAACATCAAACAAATCTACCTCTTTAACTCCAGGAATGAATGTGAAAGTATACAAAATAATCTTTTTTTAAGATAGCAATATCACAAAGCCCTTTTGTCCTCTTGATCTGCATACTGGAACAGGTACTATTGAAGTTCAAAGTCTGGCTTAAATCTAACTGAGCGAAGGTTTGACACAATCTGTGCAAGAAAAATCATTTAAGGTTCTGGTGTCGGTGATGGATATGGACATCCACAGAGGGATTTCAGTGTACAGCAAGTGGGCCAATAGAACAGCTGCAGTTTAATAGTTTACTTCACTCTCAGGGGGCCAAAATGTAGCATAAAGCAACACTGATTATGTCTGTCCAACCATGTGAAATAAAACTTTTGTTCTGCATCTATTCTTTTCTAATTCAAATGCTGGTCAGATTGTACCTGGTGTGTATCCCCAGGGCTCATAGTAAGAAGGGAACACTCCAAGGTTACAGCCCCGAACAAAGTCGTCATAGTCCATAGGTAATAGAGGGCTGGTAGAAGACAGGAACTCAGGATGGAAGATGATCTGTGGGACACAAGACAATGAAATATAGATTTTACCATTTGGTTACTGAGTACAGACTTAATTGTATCAGTTTTAGGACCTAGTACATAAATATAGATTTAGAGGCTGTATAATCATCAGCGTATTCACTTCTGTCTATTGAGAGAGACTTGCAACCATCTATCTTAAAATAATGATTTCTCTAAGCATTTTTGAATAACCATGTTTAGCAACACTTTAGCTCATGGCCTTTTTTTTATCATGATCTATGTTCTTACTGTGCTGTATTAGTTAACTTTTCAGATTTTTTTCTTTGAAATGAATGACTCAATATATCCAAACGCCTGACTCAAGCATCTAATTGGATTTCTAACTGAAAACATATTTTGGACTTGTGGGTTGTAACAGACGGTGGCAAATTGTTTGAGGCAAACGTTGTGATCATGGAAGCTGTACTGAGGACCGTGGCCTGTTTAAGTCATGTCGGCTCAAACAGACATCATTAATCATAACAAAAGAAAATTTTGATGAATTTCTAAATTCTGTTGGGAAAAAAACAACATGATTGAATGTTATTTTCCTCCAATATTAACAAAAATTGTATAATAACGGGATTTACGCACATCGACTGTTTCAAATGTTATCTTAGTCAGATTTAATAAGGAATAAGCGATATAGAAAACGAATGGATGGATGGATAGCAGCTGTTCCAGCTGTGATATTGCTACCTCAAAAAAAGTACATCCAGCATATGTTGTGTACCTTGACGCGGTCATTCCTGGAGTTGAAGAGGCCGATTCGTCTGACGTTGGAAAGGATGGGATCTGTGGTATCGTCCAACATATTGTGAGTGGTCACTGGAGGTAGACTGTGTCTCTGAAACGTGTGAGGGAAGCATCAAAATTAGACAGTGAGACAAAGACGGCCAGCTGGAAAGATCTTTACATTCTGTTTTCTAAATTTTGCAAACCTGCACTTAGAATTTTTGTTTCGACAAGGTGAACCAGTTACACTCCAAGTTCCCCAAAAAATCTAGACACAGTTTTCATGGAATTTCACAAGACTACAGACGTTTAAGAAACTTTTGAAGACATCATTTTATAGCTCAACATAAACTTGATGGTGGCAACATGTCTCAAAAATGATCATTAATAAGTTGGGTATTATCTATGTTTTGTTTTTTTTTGCCAAGCTGGGATAAAGTAATTGTAGTGATCGACTAATATTAATGCGTTTGTTAAAGATGATAGCAAAATTGCAGCCGTCACATGGTGCGCCAAAGATATCACGGTATAGCCAGCCAGAGTTAATATCCTTAAGGTGAGGGCAACTGACCTGAGATGGTAATTCATGGATAACCTAAATACTTGGAGCATAATTGGCCCTTTTCTAAAATTATAAGACACTACATACTATGTGTACTAGATCATAAAGACCAATTTATCATTCCTGAACAGGTATACATAAGGTGGTGTGCACACCCACCCGAAAGGAAAAACTAAAGAACCCAAACAATTTTTAAAAATTAGATATAAATAGGATATCCACCTATTCATGCAAGTCAGTGTACTCTCAGTTCAGTGGCAGGTAAAAAATATGAATATACTAAACACAATTAGAATAGCAAATGGGAGAATTCCCGTATTACAAATAACTCCATGTCATTATACCACAAAGGTGGTGGAGGATGATTGGCAGGGCTAAGACCTCGTGGCCAGATCGAGACTGATAAACAGCAAATAATCGAATCATTGCATTAAATTGAACTAATTTTGACTATGTATTTTCTAAACGAGTAATAGCTGATCCTAAGAGCCTGTGTTTGAAGCAGCAGCAGAAGAGCCACGGTTACATGAAAAATAACAAAGAGGGAAATGATCGCAGGAGTATTTCTTCCAGGCACCCATCAGGACTCTCAATTCCATCACTCCTCGCTCTTGCAGTCGATACAACTTGAAGCTCATTTCCTACCAGTGAAGTATCGACATTGACATACATTCATTTAATTGTGAATGACCTTTTTATTGGCACTTGGCTTGTATCGCTGAGCAGTAACAGATATTACACTGACGCGGCTGCTCTATTGACCTGCAATCCTGGGTGGACATAGGTAATTACCCCTCGCTGGGTTGGCTGTAAGGCTCATACATTCTTATGCATTTTGTCACTTCATAGACCTCTTATTGTTGTTTTCGAATTCATCAACTATGGGACAATCGCTCAGGTTAGTCACTCCAGATTTTTTTTTTTTTTAAAGAGTTTAGAAGGTGAGAGTGAACGGAGAAAAATTAAGTCTGCTGCATTTTAAGTTCTTAATTTTACAATTATTTTATTAGAACAAGTAGAGCGGAGATTATTTCTATTTTGGCCATTTTTTAAGTATCATTTCATGAAAGTAGAACCAAAGAGGAGAATGGGAACCGGTACCTGAGTAGCGTAAATGGCTCTCTTCATAATGGTGAAGTCATCTCGATCCAGAATGCTATTCATGTCGGGGATCTGCCCTCTGACGAGAGAACAGGAGCGTTCAACAGACTAAAGTGACCATATTCGTTGCAGAGGACCAAATATGACGTTCGCACCATATACTACATATGCATACTTACTTCAAAAGAGCATCGTACAGCTTTTTGCCAAACTTCTCCTTCACAGCGTGAGCAGTGTCCCTGTTAGAGACAAATAGGAACCTTTAGACACATGTGCACAGACCATAGAAAAACTGTAGAAGTCATTTAAAGCCAAGCAATAAGTCACTTTGATTTAAAAAATGAATCCAAGATTTTTCCAACATTAATCTCCACACACTTGCAAACCTTTCCTGAGTGCTTTCCAAATCCTTTCCAAAAACTTGTTTATCAAAATAATAATACAAATATATCGTGACTCATGCTACGCCAGAATAATACCACAACAAGGAGAGGGTTTAAGCCAACTAAGTGGTCATACTTTGTTGAGTCATATTTTCATAGCTGCATTTATAAAGAAGTTAAAAATTCGAGTTTTTAATGTTTGACACCCTCATACTGATTTGAGAGCCTTGTAGTGGAGCCCCTCGACCTTTTCCAACTTCAGTCACACTAGGCATCTATGAGCTAAGCCATTTCAATGTAAACCCTTTTGCTGCACTTCTCAAATAGATAACATCAAATTTAAGTAAAAACTTCAGTCTAGTATGAAATGATTTGTTAAAAAAGGACCAAATCCCAGCTAGAAAAAGATGAGAGTTGAAAAAAAGAACAACATTTTATAAATGGTTCAAAATGGGTCTGTGGTTCCAAAACAAAGCAGGTTTAGGAGTAAATGGATCTTAGTTGGTGAAAATAAAAACAACCCGATAGTCAGTCCGTTGTTTGTAGATTAGCCTTTTTACAAAGGCCAATCTACTTGATCAGTTCATGATCATTCTGAGCTTGATGTGCATTAGAGTCTCACATTATTTTTATGAGCATAGCTGCCTGTTGTTGTTCTCTGCTGCAGAGCAACCTTTAAAACTGGGCTCTCCTATAAGGTGCTGTTGTTGATCTATTTTAACCACGGAAATGTGACTCCCTATGACTGAAGGAAGTTCCACTGGCTTTTTTTGATGACAGTATATTAATAATGAAGGATGAGTCCTGCCTTCCTGCTGTAAGTGACCGTGTGTTACAGTCTGATAACATGGAACCATAAATTCATTGCATCATCTTGTCATTCATAAGAAGGTCCTACCAGAGCTGTTTGCGTATCGCTTGCCCCTTCAGTGACTCCACATTAAAGTTGTTAGTTTTAGCTGGCATGATGAAGAAAACGACCACGGTCACATCATCTTTGTGTACCTGTCCCAAAAAAAAAATATGAATGGTCTTTACAGTTCATGGACTTTTACGCATATCGTGCACATGAATGAGTGAATCAACAGCGTTAGGTCTTCACCCGTAGCAGGTAGTTCAGTCTGGACAGTGATTCCAGAAAAATATCAGCTCCTTTGTTGGAAAACTCGTACCGTCCAGCTATGAAGAAGAAAAGTGTTTTCTCCAAGTTGAAGTCAAGATGGCTGCCAGGATAATGATAAAGTTGATAATTTAGACATGTTACAGTCAGTGAATGTTCATGTAAAATGTGAATGAGATGGACTAATATTAACAATGACACAGCTCAGGGCTCCTTGAGCTGGATCAGGCGGTTCTGATTTTAAATCTTGAAATCCCACCCATAGAAGTGTCCTCTGACAAACTCCTGGATGCGGGTCTTGTTGGTGGAGTGCAGGTTCTGAAACTCATGCATAGCCGAGAACTTCTTCACATTCAGCCCATTCGGGGTCACCACATCTACACCAAACAACGACAAGGGGTTTAACAGTTAGAGCCGTGCTCCATTTGTCCTCACGCTGGTGACAGAGAAAAGATCAGATCAGATGGCCAAACAAATCTTTCGCTGGGTTATCCAGAGTTTGTGAGCAATCATTCCAAAATGACATCGTCAGTGAGTGTCCGGCACCTGGCTTCCTGTGCAGCATGTGGTTGGCCTCCACGGCCGTGATCTGGGAGACGGTGGTGAACACATGAGCGCAGTGGACTGCTGCTCGCTCCAGGCAGTATCGGTGATAAATTTGTCTCTCGCCAGCCTCCTTGTCAATGTTGAACTACAACACAAAGATCACATCAATGGATTTTGAAATGTACAGCTATAAATATGTGTATTTTAAATCATTCGCAAAAATAATTTGAGCTATTAAGCCATGGTGCTTGTTTTTTTGCTCATATTCATATATGTCTTATTATATATGTACATATAAATACTGTTGTACATAAGAAAACAAACTGGTATTTAATAAATTATGTTTTGTTGTTTTTGTCAGTGCAATAGAGATACACAGTGTGAACATACTCTGGCCTAATGGGATCATGGTTTCATGTATTTTAAATAGTTTAAGATGAAACACATTTTATGAGTGTGCCAAAGAACAAATTTTTTTCCCCTCGTTGTTACTGATATAAACACAGCTGGAGAGCTGTGAGCATGAAAAAGGGGCTGAACAGGATTAAAAAAATGTCAATCGTAATATTGGTATAGTCCACCTTTTGTAGTTCCAAATATTAAATTAATGTTTCAGCTATAAATGACTCCACGTCATCCATGTTCAATACATGTTGTCTCAAAGTTCTTAAATCTCAAAATGCATATTGATGTGATTCCATCAATAGAATCATTGAAGGTCCTTCGCGCATTGTTTTGAGGCTGAGAATCATCTGTCAGTTATATGTTCAGCCAGTGAGCAACCTTTAGCTCTGTGCTGACCTTTAGGACGTAATCACAGTAGAGCCAATTATGAACATCACACTGACCCATCCACACAATCTCCAACATTACTAATCATTCTTTAAGTGGCTGTCAAAGGCCTGAACCTTTGAATGTGAGAATAAATCTGACAGTTGCTGAACTTTTGGTTTTCCGTCTGCCACGTTTGTGTGTGAAGTTTTAGAGATTTTGCATATAAAATATATTTTGCTGCTTCCGCGTAGAGCTTATGTCACTGATAATATCAGAAAGGTCAAAATCGGTGTGTATATTTGTAACGGTATGTGCACAGGTGTACTATTGGCTAAGCTCTCCAGGGTTCTCACCTTGTCCAAGTTGTTGTAGAAGTCAACATTTCCAGCACAAAGGTATCTACCCAGCAGGGTTGCGTGTGTCGTAAAGATCGTCGCCATGGGAATATTGCGGGACCGGGCTAGAAGGAGCCCAGGACCTGCCTGCCACTCATGGAAGTGACCAATGACATTGGGGTTGTCTCCCAGGTGGTCAGTTAACTGAAAAAAAATACAAGAGTTTAAGAATACCAATTCCCTTTAAACTGTCAACAGAGTTTAAACTTTTTAATCAACCAATTATCTGTAAAATTATCAATTTCTTTTGAATAATCACACATGTTTAAGTATTTTCCTCTTATTTAATTACATTTCAAAATAAATATTCACTGATCAAGATGAGTAGGCCTCCATCTAACCTCTTTGAAGAACCAGGCTACGAGTGAGCCCAAGATAAGGGAGTCATTGGCCTCTCGGTCGTGGAAGGGAAGGCCAATATTACAGGTGTCCCACAGGTCCCCCTTCCATCGGTCCAGGTTCCAAGCTGCCGAGCCAATGTCAAACAGGATCACGTAGGGGCTGCCTTCAATCAGCCAACGACCAAAATGAACCTGCAACAGCAAAAGAAACCAAAGAGAAAGGGCACAGGGAATTTCAAATGCACTTAAAACACACCTAAAACTATATCGTACTTATCTTTACCTTTATATATCAGTTCAGTCCCTGGAACTGCGTTTCTATTAGTATTAGTATTCAAACAACAATCATGATACATTTGACAATAAGCCAAGCAGCTAAAAGATGTGTAACCCCTTGAGTAAATGTAAAAAACCTAATGCAAATTGTATTTGTATTAAGTTGTATTTTTATTTGCAAGGGACTGTAGGAGTGGTTCATGCTCCAGTCAGACCCCTGTGCACAGTCATCCATGCGCAGTGTGTGGATACCATCTAGTGGCCACACAGTCCTCCTCCAAAACAGTGACTTATGTAAACAGCCAATAATATCACATAGTTTCACCCCCTGCTTAGGGTGACAGCAAAGTGTCATTCATCGCAGATTTATTTATTTATTTATTTATTTATTTATTTATTTATTTATCTATTATTGGCACAATTTCAGTACCAGTCACATTAAATTTTGAGTCTTTATTTCATTTAAGTAAATTCTAGAATATTTGTAGATGAGTGCAATATGGTGTGTGCAACTGTGAGCAGTTTTAAAGATTCCTGATCCTTGATAAAACTACATCTTCTGAAGATGCAGTCATCATTTTATACATCTTGTGCAAAAGGAACCAATGAGATACTGTATATGTCGGACATTTTTGTAGATTTCTAAATCAATTTAATGTTTGGCTGATAAATGAAGTTCTTAATGGCATTAATGAAACCTAAAATAATAAAAAATAATAAAGATTTTTTTTTTTTTTGTGAATGAGCTTTGGTATAACTAGAACATCTTCCAATATCTCCTGGCATCCATGAGTACGCATGACACAGATGGAAGACCAAACACCAAATTATATTCCAGATTTACGGAAGAAGACATTATGCAGGATCTGAATGGGATACCTAAATGTTTACCAGTTTTCCCTTTTTTTTTAACATGAACACACAGGAATTCACACCTGGCAGCCATTGTGGATGAGAGCGTCCATGGCTTTCTGGATGGCGTCGTTAGGTGGCTCGCAGCCCTCCACCTGAGTCCTAAAGTTGTGCTCAAAGTAGGGTCCCATCATGTAGTAGTTCTCTCCCCATTCATCCACTGTGACCTTTGCCTTGGACTGAATGACAGTGTAAATTCCTCCGACTGCAGGTACACAGAAAGAAAAGAGAAGAATTGTCAATGCGAACCATTTCCACATGGGGCCTCCATTCAGTATTGGCTTTTTATTCAAACCGAATCAAACATCATTAATTATGTTTGTTTCTGTTGACTGTGACAAGAACACAGATGCATTTTACTTTTACAACACCTTCCTGTATTTATTTTTCGACAGAGCAGAGGGCACATGGGCATGTTTTTCAGCACCTCACTTGGCAACAAAAAGACCAATGTTGATATGTGAGAGCACTAACAATCAGTGAGTAGTGACGTAGAATTCACATCAGAGGGCAGCTGTTATGTAAGAGGTGTTTCTCAGAAAACGGATGAGTGACCCCTAAACAGGTGCTCAGCGTGATCATGTTGTGACTTCCGCTACACATATGCACATGCCACAAATGGCTGTTTGTTGAAGACGGATAATAGCGTTCAAATCCAGTGTAACGCACATCATATGCTGGTTTAGATAAAAGCTCAGGTTGTTGTCTTAGAGCCAACTTCTCAAACACTATTTAGCCTAAGTGCTAGTTTGGATCCATTATATACAACCCCTGTAGCCTTCAGAGGGATTTTTATATGGTTGTAGCAAAAAACCTCCTGAGTTGAGGGTCACATCTGGATTATGAAACATCAAAATGTCCGCTTCATCAGTCTGATTGGTTGGAGCTATCAATTCCGATTCAGAATTTAAAATCTATCAAAAGACAAAAACAGAATTTTCTCCTTTGTTGTTTTTTTCTGAAATGTGTTGGTTCTGTTTAAATGACTTCAGTCCAACTAATTACTGGAGCTGCTTTCAAGGTAAGCACCAATAACATACTATGCATATAGTCGCTGTTATCTCAGTAAACTCTTCACTGAAAATCCAATTAGGAAAGCAGCCAATACTAAGTACCAATTTCATGAAATGCTCAAGTTATGTGATAGCCTTTGAGAAGAAGACAGCCCATAAAAGTAAATCTGGACAAATTTTGTAATTCCCTGAGCGTTCTTGAGATTTTCTACGGAGCCAGTGATGGTGATAGAACCAAACCTTCAGTTTTCTGTATGCCTGTGAGCTGATTTTGATTTTGTTACATATCTATAATATCCTATCCTCATATCATAAATAAAACAGCAGCAACACATTTCCCTTTTGGGATTAATAAAGCTTTACTGAGTAGATGTTAATATTTCACCCTCATCTGGTCAATGGGCTGTTCAAAACTTAAACAAAAACATTGGTTAAAGTCTAAAATTAAATGTGAAATTCTTAATCATACTTGATATATCTGACCATTATCTTCCAACCCACGCAATAGGAAAAAAATTTAATCAGAATAAATCATTATGGAGTCAAAATCACAACTCATCTCCACCCAGAAGTCACGTGCAAAATTGATCCTCAGTGTGCGGCGCTGTAAACATTGGTAGATGATCTTAGGGTCAAGGCCGAAGCGACGGTCCATGACGATGCTATGACGACCATTCATACAATATGAAAAGTGACCGGACGATACACATGCAAATCAGGGGCTTCTGTATTGGCTGCTTCCCCTCCCCACTTTTTTGTAGCTTAATGTTTAACTCTTCAGAGGGAGCAGACTCCAGGCTCGCTCGATTTTGATATTTACTCTTTGAGGAGCCAAGAGTCAGTTCTAAGCAAAGCTTAGCAGACACTGTTGCACAGTTAGAGGCAAGAGTACCATTCTTATTCTTTTCAAAAATCAAGTTTTCCATGCAAAGATCAGCCTCTCACCTCAATAGATTTCAAGCAGATCAATGCCAATATAAAAACAAATGGTTATGTGTCCTACTTATTAATAAAATGTTGGTCAAGTGAGCTTTTTTGCAATTCACAATGGCTTTGCGTGTTTTTAGCAACCAGTTCAATGTAATTCTGACAGAAATAAAAGAGCAGATTCAGGTTTTTCCAGACCTTTGTTGGTGACCTCCCAGGCCACCTCGAAGAGCAGAAGATCCTCCACGGGCAGCTCGTCCTCCTCCCAGGCTGGCAGCACCCCACTCAGCGATGTCATGGACAGGGACCGTGACAGCGGCATCTTATCAGCTCCTAAGGTACAACTGACACCACGGGAAAGCGAAGGTTCTTCTTAGTCTGAAGGGAAGTCCTTCAAACTTCGAGCTCAGCAGGCACGGTCCTCACAACAGACAGGGTGAAGATAGGAGGGGACCACGGGGGGGAAAAAGAGCTCTCACCCCGCCTACAGAGGCTGACCCGCAGCCAGCGGGAGAGGACGTTTACCCCAGACACTCGCGCATTCACGCATAGGTTGGGGTGAAAGGTTTTCCCAAGCAGCGCCGGATCAGTAGAGACGCTGCATGTGTCACAGCTGCAGGATGGTCAAAGTTTCTGACCTGCTTTTATGTTTAAGAAAAAAAACTGCGCCTGCCACCACTTGGTGGCATCGTCGTTTGCTTCATTTGTGTTTGTGTAAACATATGATTGAGTGTATCCCACCTCTTACCCAATGGTAGCTTTGACCTTCAATTCAATTATATGGGTATTTGGATTTTTCAGTTGGGTGGAGGTGGTGAAAAAGACCCAAACGGAGACCACAACACTCATTTTTGACAGAAACTTGAGACTGTTTTTGTTCTGTTTTTAAAAAACCATAGGCAGAAGTACAGCAGAGCCAGACGTGCAAAAAAAAATTCTTGGGAAAGAAAATGTGTTTCTATAACATATTTTGTGTACAAGACAATTCAACATGCTTTACATAAGAGATTAAAAACGAAACATGCATTAAAAAGTAAAGGTTCCAAGCAGAAATTAATAAATTGAACAAAATAAAACTAATTTAAAAAATTGAAGACATTAAAGAGACTTGTGCACAAGCAGAGCTGTTTTAAACGTCTATTCTCTGAGTGTCATTTGGAAAGCCCAGTGAGCAGGCCGCCACAGTAGTCTAACCTCCTACAGACAAATGCATGGATTGATTCTGGCAATGTTTTTTAGAGGGTAAAAGGCTGCTGATGATATTGATTTAATGTCGCTGTAAAAAGTTCAGTTCAGTCCAGTATTACCCCTACATTTTTAACCTATTTATAAAGTTCCACAAAGAATCGGATGGTGAATGATGACGCTTTCACACGAAGACGAACAAGAACACACTCACACACACTTCTAAGGGGAATTTGGAATGTCGAAATAGCCTAACATGCAAAAGGGGTTTGAACACAGAACCTTCTTTCTGTGAGGCAATGATGCCACCATACTACCGTGCTACCGTGCCGCCCAAATAAATCTACAGGTCCATGTTCTCCTCCTGTCAGTGCTGTCAACTTCCCAGTTTGTGGAGGACACATTATGGCTGTGTGTTAGCTGGCCTAATGGTAGCATATAGAGTACTTACAACAGGGGTCCCATGATTGACTCCTGGGGAACCCCACAGGTCAGACCCATTCGGTCTAAGACACAGTCCCCAATCTGAACAAAGTGCCTCCTGTCCTCGACATAGGACTTGAACCAGTTTAAAGCTGTAGCAGAGATTTCCAACCAGTCTTTTAACCACGGTAATAAAATCAAATGGTCAACTGTATCAGAGGCGTCGCTCAGGTCCAGCAAAACTAAGACTGAGACTTTGTCTGCATCTGTGCTCAGGCAGATATGTTTGTCACCTTGATCAAAGCTGTCCCAGTGCATTGGCAGTACCTAAAGCCTGACTGGAAAGTAAGAACGTTGGTAGGACTGGACGCAACCGAGCGCTATTAGCCCGTTAACTCCTAATTCATGCAGATTTCATTGCAATGTGACAAGATAGTGTGTGTGTGAATGTTGACCTTGAAGACGTATATATACTATAACAGAGAGAGAAAAAGAATGAGTGGCCACACCCAGAGAGTTTAACACAAGTGTATAGTTCTAAAAGGAGTAAGACAGTCAGTAATTTACATGGATTATGTGATAGCAAATAATGCTAAAGTGAGTAACTATAGCCCAATTCTAACATTTCATAGACCCCTCCAAAAAAACCTTCAGGGCACTCAACTAATAAAAACAGACTACATGCTGATTTAAACCATCCATCCATTTTCGTAACCGCAATGACTAACTAACTAAAACTGGAGAAATATACAGCATGTGTTTATTTTTCATCAGACGTCTGGCTGCAGAACTTTTGGATTAGCTGGAGCATTTTCATGGGAATTTGTAAGACAGCATGGATAGGTATTTCTAATGATTATATTATAAGTTGTTAAAAATGTACTGAAAACTTGTATATCGACCAGGAAATGTCACAAAGCGGTCTCAGGGAGGACTCAGTTGCAGAAGGGAGGCTCAAAAGGGTTCTAATGAACAAAAAAAACAGACTCAAAAGGAGTGGATGACCAGACAAAGTTCAAACAAGGCAGACAAAACTATGAACAAAGTATACAATCAAGTAAACAGGACTATGAACAAAGTATTCAATTAAAATCTCTAGTGACCGAGGCAAAAACAAAACTGTGAATAAAGTGCAAAAATCAAAACTCTCTCTTACGAGGTGTGAACAAGACGAGGTACGAAAACACACTGGCACAGAACAAGGGGAAACGAGGACTATTTAAACACATGAGGGAAGGGAACCCCAGGTGTACACAATAGGTAATCAAGGAAGACATGACAACACACCAGAAATTCCCCCAGACGTGACAGGAGATTATTTTAGGAAACATAATCTGTTCTTTTACCCTTACTCCAATTTGTATCCTTCAAATATGTTTTAATAATTTCATTCAAACAGATTTTTTTTCTCAAAAAATGGAATACAAAGAACAACCAATTGATTAAAAAAAAAACATGTGTTAATCTAAGCTAGAGATACAAAAAACCAGGCCAAAAACATGACCATTGAATCCAGAAAAGAAAAGAACGAGGGGGGGAAAAGGGAGTGAGAGCTTTAATACTAAAGAGGATGATTAGTGAGTGGCAGTTCAGGGATTGCTTACAACAGTAGGGAACTGAGGAAAGAATCCAGACTATTTTCATGTATCGTTCCACAATGGTGGACACTAAGAGAACAGTCTATCTTCAAGAAACTCAAGACTCAGCTCTTAAGAGTATGTATCCTCCCCTAACCCTTAATCTCTACCTCCACACCTCCTGTACCACTCTTTCTTTACTTCCATCTCACAGAAACTGACTAGTGGCTACAATAGCCAGTGGAACCAAACATGTATCCATTATCATAAAAAAAAGCTTGATTTGGTGAGATTCTCTCAATCTTCCTTTTACAGGGATGGATCAACACTTATGCTCGAGATTTGGTTTTATTTCATGATCCTTTTCATTTGAATAAGTTGCTTGTCTTTGGGGCGTTTTAGCCACTTAGACAAAAAGCAGCTTGGTTTTACAAGTATTAGGTTTGATGCAAAATCAATGCTGTGGAAGTGGATCTGACATGAACAAAACCTCTTGTGTTTACTCTGCTTCTGTGTGGTGTGTCGTATTATCTTGTACTGGGTGGGTAATGCACCTGGCGTGCGGACCTGTCAACATTTCCCAGAAGAGCTGATGAATGATGCATTTCAGCACCGGGGCCAGTAGACAGCTCCACACGCACAGGCCGCTGCGATTGGCTGCTGGGGACGGGAGCGTCGGGTCACTCGGCGGAGACACAAAACCGGGCTGAAATGGGGGGTGGGCACGTCAGTCTCTTTGTGGGTGAACACATAAGCCTGGACTCACACAGACAGGATCTTTGGCTGAGAGATGAGACTTCTGCTCGTGGTTGTGGTGACCGCGCTGGTTGGCGCTCAGGGTGGAGGGAGTGAGAGGGCTCCGCCCGGACCGGCTTCTGATCAGAGGACCCGTGTGACAGGTGGGTGAGCTGGTTAGATGAGTTGAACTCTGTTAACTTTCCATTTTTGTTTCTTTTAACAGTACTCCAGGGCCCTTATTATATTGTAAATGCAAAGGCTACAAGTAAGGCACAATCATAAATTTAAAAAATTTCGATTTTCTTTGGTTAATGGAGTTTTCATTTATTGTAGAAATTTTGGTAGTTAACAGGATGTTGGGGTAGACTAATTCCCTCTTTAAGAACAGTTTTCATTTTTTAATCATCCTATCATCACTGTCTAGATAGATAGATAGATAGATAGATAGATAGATAGATAGATAGATAGATAGATAGATAGATAGATAATTAAAGGACAATTTAGTCTAAAGTAGACTGAAAAATACATGTTTTTTTATGGGGGGGGCACGAGGGACTTCTATCTGAATTAACTTCCATACACACATTTGAAGTTAAACTCTTCCACATACTAAACATTGTACAAACACTAGTGAAAAGCTCTCACATAAACTCGTGAAAACATTTACCACTAACCTATTCAAAAACTCTAATACAAAGTAGTGAGAACTGTTCATATAAAGTGTTGAAAAGCTCTACCTTTCATACACACCGGACGATAGTTTTTTCCTAAATTCATGGTGATGCCTCCTTCGTCTTTCTCAGCCGCCGTCCTCTCGGAGCTCCGGAGAACCGCAGGAGACTTCCCGGCGGAGGACCCCAGCCTGTGCTTCACCGCCAGAGAGAGCGACGACCAGCGGCAGCTTCTGTGTAACGACCGGCGGAGTAAGTTCAACTACAACCCGTTCGGCCTTCGCTTCGGTAAACGCACCAAAAGCTACCTTTACAGAAGAGCCAATAAAAGCGCGAGGACCGAGAAGTTTTCGCCCCTCCATCTATTCTCGCGAGAACTTGAGGTTCCTACCTGACAAGGATGTCTTCCATGGATGAGATGTATGATCTTTGGTGGAAAGTCGTTGATTGAAAAGAAATTATCAAAGAAACTTCAGATAAAATTGTGCTAAATAAAAGTTTTTATACCTATGTTTGATGTTAAGTTAATTTGCCAAAACTTGTCTTGAGAGCTTTACTGTCATCTGGTGGGGATTTGTAATTAAAAAATACTCATGCAGCAACCTAGACACTGCACAAATGAGGGGTTTTGTTATAGTATTGTACGGTGATTGGATATATTTTTTATGTTTTTAATGTATTCACTTAAGCAACATCTGTATCCTTTGGGATACATCTACCAAATGGGGTAACAATACAAATTTGTTTTCGGAGATTTGTTTCCAGCATTCAATGACTTACTAAATTCAAGTAAATTTGAGTGTCCATGATTGCACTAGCATTAAAAAAAGAACACAGTAGACTAAGTGTAGTTTAAATATTTGGTGTCAACATGTAAACTGGAAACAAAAAAACTTAAATTTTTCAATGGGCATTGTATCCTGTGAGAAATCCCTTTAAAGAAATGTTTTTGAATTAATTTACAATGTTTGGAATAGTGTCATTTAGGCTGAGAAAATAAAGTAAAAACAAATACAATGTAAATGGAACAAACCATTTAAAAGGTTAATAGTATCCTTAAAAATCATTTTTACATTAATGGAAAAAACTATCAGGATTGACACTGAAATGGTTCAGGAGGCAAAAATCAAAGAAAATGGTGATGGTGCTTCCTCAGTTGCACAGAACTAAAAAAAAAATACGTTTCAGTTAAAGGACAAAGAAAGCTCAATTTCTCTACAACAAAGCACTCGTGCACACAATTTCATGAGCTCCAAATTTATTAAGTTACATTGTGATGGTTTCAAACACAGCTGATAAGATGAGAATACAAGAGACACGTGTGATGTTTCCACTTTCCCTTCAGTAACACTCAACAGTCACATTTCACTGTGTGCGATGGCTGATCTGCGTGTAGTCAAGTAACAGGTTGAAATAAAGGATGGTGGACAATATGTTCTTTTGGATTTCGGATAACGCTGGAGGCATTTGTGGCATTTCCTGGGTTATTTCCCTGCAGGAACCTAAATGCCCTACTCGGTTCGGACGACGGGGGACAGCATTTGATCCTGGTCTAAAGAACTGAAGCACAGAAACCCCTATTGAATACGCAAGCACAGGTCAGCTTAATCTGCTAACACCAACACACAAACATCAACTTAAATGTACGAGCTGTTGGAAAACAAAGTGCCTTATTTTAAAGAGCATACCAGTGTTTTTTTTAGATCGGGTGTCAGACTAAGTGGGCTCCGATTCTGCAGCCGGAATAATGGGATGATAGACACATACAGCAAAAATCTTCACTGGTGATTTTCTTTAAAAAACACTGATATAACCCTTTGAAATGGGAACAATCCAGTTGGAGAAGGGGCGGTTAGAAAAGGAGTGCGTGAGGGACGACAGGATCCTCTGCGCTGGCGAGTGCAGTCGTGTTCACAGATCCTTGAGGTCCTTCTGGATGCCCCACAGAGTGTCTGCGCTCTTCTTCAGCTGGGCCACCTCGTCGGGGGTCAGGGTCATGTTGACCACGCTGCCCACGCCGCTGCCGTTCAGGACGCAGGGCAGAGACAGGAAGACCTCCTCGCCGATGCCATACATATCCTGAAATGCACACACACACCAATTCAAACTAGGACCAACCACTGTTTGCGCGGTTATAGTTTTTAAATGTTTGTAAAATATCACTTAATACAAGCAAAGTTGTGATCAACATTATGCAACGCATATTATCAATGTGTCGCAGGTGAGTGTCCCCTCTTACCTTGACCATGGTGGAGACGGGGTGGACACGGCTCATGTTCTTGATGATGCTCTCGGTAAGGTCGGCAACGCTCAAGCCGATGGCCCAGTTGGTGTAGCCCTTCAGTTTGATCACTTCATAAGCGCTGCAGCACAAAGTGGAACACTGTTAGGATCTGTGCTCTGACTGCCAGTTATTTATAAAAAGTTGTTTTTTTTAAGTTAAAAAAATAAAATAATAATAATAATCTATGGTAGGACCCCTTCCTTAGCCCCACAGGAACATAAAGGGTTAGGCCTGTGAATTTACCATTTAAAATTTGTATTTCCCTGCTTATACAATAACAAAACATAAATGTAATAAGAAAAGTAACCAGCGTTTTGTTGTTTTTTTATTTTACAAGATGCACACAAACAGGCAGAGATACATTTACACATTTTTAAAAAGTAGGAAAGCGGCTCACCTGTCCACCACAGCCTTGTGTGTAGCCTTCCACTGCTCCTTATCGCCATCGGTGCCAATGTCGGGATTCAACTTCTGCAGGTTGACCCCGGCGACATTGGCCCCGCTCCACACGGGAACTGGAACGAGACAGCGCACGCGGTCAGTATCGGGCCGCCTCCGAGTTTCGGCCGTGCCCCGCCCCCCCCCCGGGCGCGCGCTCACCGCTGGTGTCCCCGTGCTCGCCCAGCACCCAGCCGTTGAAGGAGCTGGAGTGAATGCCCAGGCGCTCGGCCATCAGGTAGCGGAAGCGGGCCGAGTCCAGGTTGGTCCCACTGCCGATGACGCGGTGCTTTGGCAGACCGCTCAGCTTCCAGGTCACGTAGGTCAGCACGTCAACTATGTTCGTATGAAAAGAAAGGAAAAAAAAAAAAAGCAAGGACAGGACTGAGATACAGCAAAACCCAACTCCACCTTCCTCCTCGCAAACATTCCTAGAATAAGCCATTGTTTGGGTTTCCGTTTACCAGGGTTGGACACCACGATGAGCGTGCAGTTGGGGCTGTACTTGATGATCTGTGGGATGATGGACTTGAACACGTTGACGTTCCTCTGGACCAGGTTGAGGCGGCTCTCGCCCTCCTGCTGGCGGACGCCGGCCGTCACCACGACCAGACGAGAGTTGGCAGTGACCGCATAGTCTGACAGAGGAGAAAGAGGGAGAGAAAACAGTTAGGGGCGCATTCAGAGAAGCCTGGAGGGTTGGGGGCTTAAGAACGTAGGTGATTTCTGACCTTTATCTGCAACTATCTTGGAGGTCTTCAGGAAAAGGCTCCCGTGCTGCAGGTCCATCATCTCTCCTTTAAGACGGTCCTCCATCACATCCACCAGGGCCAGCTCGTCACACAGGTCCTGAAGGGTGAGAGAAAAAGAAAAAAGGAAAAGACAACAGCATGATTAAGGATTCTTGGCCACACCATCTTGATTTTCAGGTGTTTTTGCATCTCATGTTCCCATCAAAATGTTTCATTAAGTCTTTCATTAGGTTCATTTACCAAGTCTTGATTTTTTTTTTTTTTTACTCCAACAGAAAATGATGGGGTTTTTGTTGGTTTTTTTTGTGTGTGAGTGGTGCAGAGTATCTCACCCGCAACAGGATGCTGACAGCGCAGGCCATGCCCACCTGGCCCACTCCAACCACCGTCACCTTGTTCCTGGGGGGCTCGGCAGAGGTGCCGGCCACGGGGCTGATCAGCTTCTGCAGCACGGAGGACATGATGGCCGCTGCAGGGGCAAACGGAGGGAGGGGAACAGCCATGAGACAGATGAGACGAAATACAAAAAAAATAAAAGGAACCATTTCTTCTTTGAAAAATACACAAATTAAAAAATAAAATAAGGTTTTGGCTTCCTGAATTCTGCAACTTAATCATGTCATTTTTGGTGTGTTTTAATGTTCTTTTGGAATTTACTCTTCAAAGAACAGTAGTATCCCAAACAATGCTAGCAAAGACATGTGGGGAGATAAATGAATAATAGATACATTTAAAAAAGAAATCTAAAGCTCATCATTTCCACAAAAACAGTAAAAAAATAAAAAAAATTTTTTTTTTTTTTTAGAAAAAGAGGCACAATTTGCTGTAATCCACTGGGCCTAAAGAAAAAGAGAAAATCGAGCTGTAGTTGACAAGCCTTTACCCCTGAGGGACATTTAAAGCATCAATCAACCAACCAGAGAACTGTAGCCAATCAAATACTCTCAATGGGGATATTAGCTTTGAAAAAATAAATCAATAAAAAGGAGGGGGGGGGTTAATCAATAAATGTGTGGTATAGACCAGAGATTTTCCCCAACAAAAGCCTCCACTTTACTTGAACCAACCGATTGTAATCGAATGAATGCAGTAGTCTTAAATTTCTAACCAATGAGAAGCTCATTGACCAACTGTGCCGATGTAAATGTAACATGTTGAAAGATAGTCATGTTGCATCGTGCCTGAATCAGAAAAAAACTTGAGGAAAAAAAATCATCAAAAAGGAAAGCCCTCAGTAAAATTAGCTCAGGACCGCAACTGCAGAAAACTTACAGGAGGATAAACGGATGGGCGTCAAAAAGCGAGACATGGAGGCGCGCAGGGGTGCAAGTCGCAGCTGCCCGCGGACTTGGGCCAACATTCATTTTAAATACGAACGTTTTATCAGGGATGCGAAGGTCAGCACGCAAGGTTCACGCCACGTTAATCTGTATGACCATCACGTGTTTGCGGGCTATCCTGCTTGTGTATGGCAGCTGCAGCACTATGAACCTACGCATGAAATGAAAAAAAGACTCCATATCATTTGTTGTGCTCTCAGTTGAGATGGCTCAATTTGAGACTCTCGTGGCCTTGGAGACGCCCGATGTTGCCAGTGGCTGATATAACGTTATAAAATCTCCATCTGAAAACCCGTAAAATGATACTCGTATCAGAGAACTGGAGTACCTCGTCCTGTTTGCAGAAACAAGACTCTAATTTACAAGTTTTGTGGCTCCAGAGGACATGTCAAGTCAATGACTCTAAGCTAAACGTAAACTGAGATTGGGAGTTTAAATATTTTCATTTAATAATGCTCTGAAGATGATTCATACAAATCATATATATCCAAAGGGATACTAGTTGTGATAAATTTGGGTATAAGTGGTCATCGGATCAATGCTGAGCATTGTAGGTTTTAGGTATTTGCAGACGGACTCAAGGATGGAAAGGGGCAGCAAGTGGACTAATGACCTGTAAAAAGGTTTTCTTCCCATGAAGTTTACATGTCAGATCAGTAAATAATTTAAACTTGTCACAAATATACAGACAACTCATAAAATATCTAATTTGTTCTGGAGGATTACATCAGGAATATCACAGATGTCACTGACCAAATCTGAAGAATTGGGCCCCAGTGTGGATTATTGATCATTATAAGATAAAAGGGACATCTGTTTTTCTTATTATATCCCATAATAGCAGTTTTCTGTTAGGACATAATATGAAAACATTCATAACCTAAACTGTATAGCCATCTCCCCCCAGGCGCCAGGCTGCAATAACCCTACATACCTAAACATATCCCCCTGGCTTTTGCTTGGAGGGGGGGGGGGCACCTCTCAGGCCGGCACATCCTAGATTTTAGTTATTGTAACAGTGCATCTGCATTTAAGACAGTTCTGCTGAAAACACTGAACTTAAGAGGGTAAAAATACATTTAAAAATAAAATAAAATAAAAAAAGAACGGATGCCCTCAGTAGTCTCTTGGAACCATGTTCTCTACACACTTTTGTTTTCCCCCAAACAACAACACGTGACACGAGGAGTCTTTGGTGAAGTGGCCACATTCAAAACTGCTGACATGATGGCTTCGACACGAGAACATTATTCTTTTTGTGCTTCTTTTTGTTTAAGACTCGGTCGTGGACAAAGTTAGTGTTTAGTTTTCTCGTCACAAAAATGACCAAACAAGGACCTATACACATGCATTTAGCTTTATATCTGAAAATGACGTCTATCAATACCACCAATTGCATCTGCGGCTTCATACTTTTTTTTTTTTATTTAATCAAATATAGAAAGACATAGGTATTTGTGCTTGCATTATTTGTGTGAATTCAAACATCAAGTATGCTTCATATGCCTATAAGTAGATGGCACCACAGAGCATTCAGAACCAAAGGAGGACAACCCCAAATATTTCTGTGTAGTACAGAGACATCCAGATCTGAACGCAGACTTTACCACGGTTCAGCTCATTTCGCTGCGACAGCTGACAAATATTTAGGTTATCGGGTCAGACGGCGAGCATTAGGAGGTCCCCAATGTAGGGCTGCAGGTTTTTATAAAAGCCCCATTTAGGATCCTGAAAGGGTTTAGTGTGAGAGACCTTTGACCTCTTCCACAAGAATCCTGTTGTATGAGTACACAACTACTGGCACACAAAATACGACAGCCACACTTTTACTCAACTCTTTTCCAACTCTTAAACCGACTGATCTGAAGCAGAGTTTCAGTTTGTGTGTACTCCCAAACAAAAAGCCGGCCACAAAACTTCCAGCCTTAGTCCTCCTTTGAGAAAAGGCCTGAGTTGTCAATTAGGCTCCTCTTATTTCTTAAAAGAGAGACACCGATCAATAACACTCCGATGTCAGTACTTCTGATCCTAAATATCCCAAATGTATTGAAGCTTCTGTCCAAAGTGAAAAACAACAATTACTGCAACATAAAAGGGTGAGCACTCCAGCTTCCCTCAGAGTGGAGCGAGACATACATATTTAATAGAAGTAGCCATTAGATAAGTTACATTTAAAATCAAGAAAAAGCTATAAACAACTACAGTGGATCAATTTTATTGTGCCCTAATACGAGGAGAATTATAAATAATGTGTGTATGGTCAAACTAAAATGTACAGATATTATTTTCAAGTTTCAGGTGTCCACTTTGTCCAGGGATAGTTGGTTTAATCTGTCTAACAGGGTTTAGCTCGATCCAGAACCTTCGATAATGATTTAAAATATATCAATTAGTAAATGTTTTCCTTAATTTTGTAATCAAACTATTTTGTAATTTAACTAAATCTGTCCAACATTTTCACTGGGGAAAAAAGAAAGTTATAAGCACAAAGTCTGTCAAAGGAGGTTCATTATCTGGAGTCCAAACAGTTTATTTGACTTTGCATTGATTGGTGATTGACAGGTTTCCACGTGCATTCTTCTGAAAAACTGCAATCACAAGAACAGCTCGTGCACAGACTCACAATGTTTTCCTTTATCTTTTTTCTGGGTTCTAACTTAATGTGGTTATTCAGCTTTCCTCTTATCAAACGTCGGTCTCAACAGGATCAAAAGTCATTGGCTTTTAATCATCGCGGGCTAAATTAAAGAAGAGTCCGTGCCAAAACGGATAGTTCGGTTGCAAAACTGGTTTAGTATTATGCAAAGTGTCGAATCCTGACGAAATCAAATCAGGACACACAACTTCAGAAAGAAAAGGGGGGGGAAACAATTGTGACAAAACTATGGCTTGCAAAATTGTACATCTTAAGAGACTAATTCCCCACTGACTCACAACCAAAATGACAGGCAATGCATGGGGGAAAAGGGACACAAACTGACCCCTGAAGGGGCCTGGGCCTCAGTTTGGACACTGACCTTAACTGTCAGCGGGCTTTGAGAACAAAAGCCCCCATAGATTTGCTCCAGCAATTTTTAGCCTGCTAGCTGGACTGCCCACATGTTAACATGCCAGTCACATCAAGGTCAGACGAGCATGGAAAAAGCCAGTCAGGTGGTCAGTGTCCACAGAGTGGACACCTCCCCTGCTGCCCGCTGCCCAGCCTCCTCCAGACAACGAAAGACAATGGGCTTTCGGAACACAACGACCCACTTCACGCTCCGATACATTTATTGGGCCATTACACAAGCAAGCAAAGCCCCGGGCCCTGTTGTTTTAGAACCCACTTCTTCAGCGGCAGCTGACGGTCAAATAATGAACTCGGCAGACATGCTGGTGGTGCTGCTATGCAACTGATTTTGAAAAAAAAAGAAAAAGGGATGGGTGTTGTGTAATAGCCAGGGCCGGAGCCTTTCCACCGTCCTTCATCTTCAACTGAAGACGCGCTCTTCATTTGACAAGATAGCAGATTTAAACGTGAAAAAAACACACCCCAAAAAGGTTTAATGACAGAATACCAGCACCGGTTCGTTGTGCTTTCTCGGCCCAGAGCGTTTTCCGTCAATGATATATTGCGTAATTACAATAAATAAGCAGCACCTGGTGAATCCTTAGAAACGCCCGAAAAAAAAGGCAGATACGTCGACGCCGTTTAAAGCACAGCGATGGTGTTTGGTTTTAAACAACTACGACATGCAGAGAAATGTCCCTTTAGCAGTTTAGAATAGTCCAAAATATAGTTTAAAAAAAATAAAAAGAGGTTAAACCCCTTCTCCAATGATGCTTCAAACATTTGAATGACATTCAGCTTGACCTAGCATACATCGTTAATGGCTTCGCGAAGCGTCACGAGCATCCATTGCTGCTCGTGCGTTCTGCACGCGGAACTGCGAGGTGGCCCCGGATCCCGACATACACACAAACAAAACAACCCAAAAAAAAACAACACCCAAAACAAAGAAAGAGAAAGTGAGAAGCTCTACACTTACAGATTTGGAGAGAAGGCTGATATATGTTATCTGGTCCCGGTGAAGGAGACGATGTGCCGTCTGGCGATAAGGCGGAAGGCTAATGTTGGAGCCGAAAGTGGCAGCAAGGAGGAAGAGAGGTAGAAGAGGAGGAGGATGTGAGCAAGCAGGGGGGAGGGGAGGGGAGGCGACCGGGGTGTCGGGCCTACCGGGGCCTTTAAATATATCTGGGTCAAGATAAGATAATTATTTGTTAACCACTGTTGTCAAATCGAAAGATGCGTTCAAGTCATGTAAGAAACATCGTTTTTTTTTTTACGGAAACAGGTGAGCATTCTGAGCACCATGTACTTCTCTAGTCTAGTTTTGTTATGGTAACCACTTTTTTTTTTGCTTTTTAAGACTTTATCTTAAATCTCTGCTCTTTGTATCTGACGGACTTTTGATGTTATGATTGTTATTGCAAACTGCTTTCTGAAATGAATTTAAATCTATTTCTCTATTTATTGCTCCACTGTCATACTGTAGGTCAATTTGGACAAATGTGTCTGGTCCATTCAGGGACCTTATGGTATTCTGTGCTTGCATTTTCTGTTCTGCTCTATTTTTAATCCTTCCCTTCAAGGATCTGTGATCTGGCTGAGATTTTCCACCACTGCAAGGCTGTTTGCGTTGAGGTATGCAAACATAGAAGATCCTACTGGTGATCACCAGTAAAACTGGTTGCAGTCAGCCAACATGGTCTCCATTTCAACTTAATGCAAGGGGGTGACTGATTTCATTATATTAGGACAGAAAGGAGCCCCAACCTGATGTGTGTGCACGTGGGTGCTAATACTGTGCGCTGGGCAGATGTCTAAAACTATGCAGTGAGAAATATTTCCTCAAACACCTTGTGGGAATTGATGTAGAAGCATAATTAAATGTGCTCCACAGTAAGTTAACCCAGCTCGAAGCTCTCCTGAGAACTTCCCATTTGACCTACGTTGCTTCCATTAAGCCTCTGTGCTGCTGCTGACTTTCCAAACAGAATTTCAACTTATTAAAAAAACTTCCAGGTTCTCCTGGAACCCAGTAGTTTATGAAAATTACAAAATAAAACATTTTTAACAGGCTTTGCATGTAGTCCGCATTTTGCCAACAATACCTGCTGTCAATAGATTAAAATAGCATCTTTGTGATTTTTTTCCTCTGCTGTTTATGAACACCTTTGACATTCTAACTTTAAATCAGTGTCCGTCACTGCTCGCCAGGTCTGTTTCTGCCTTATCAAAGTGGACTCGGACACAGATGGACTTTCTTCTGTAAATATTTCATAACAAGAACTGTGACAACGGTCATGTACTAAAGGGTTTCCTTGAGCCACATCTGGGTCGTGATATCTAATCACCTTAACTAGTCAAAGGACTTTGTCTGAGGAGTTTATGGGCTCACAAATATATTAATTAGAAATAACTGAGACCCAACAGTAATTTTTACGTGCACCTTACTGTGTTTAATTAGATTGGCCAGTGGAGGAAGGCAGTGTTTACAGTCCGTTATATAATTCCTTCCCCGCCATCCCCCCCAATCCAAATCCCTACTGACTCTTCCTTTTAGTTTATCAGCCTTTGTACTCCCATTGGCTTTGTTTTTTGTTTTTTTATCAAGAAACAAAAGCTGGATTTAAGAGAATGGGATAGGCTCCAGCCTCCCCTTTGGGAATAGGCGGTATCGAAAATGGATGAATGGATTTATGAGGATGCAAACCCTGTTGGACTTGAAAGTTATAAAATATAGAGAATAGGTTGAAGGGACTTCATGGATGTGCATATCTTTAGAATAAGGTTCACTCTGTTCAGACACAAGTTCATTTTAGGGTAGTTTTATTAGTAGTTTGAATTGCGATACACATGATGGAAAAAACATTTTTAATGGACCATTCAAGAAAAAAACATGTGCAACAGAAAGAAAATGAATAACAATAAAAAGCCAAACTATGCAATGAAAAGCATTCAGCATGGATAGTTCTTTTTATCAGAATTTTTGGCAACAGTTTACTGAATCCCATATTAAGGTCCAACTAGAGTTTAACCCAACTTGTAATAGGTAAGAGTCAGGGTACATGCTTTACATATGACCTATGACAAATAAGCCATTCTTAAACATACAAATTAACATTTACTATACACAGAAGGGATGAACTTGTTCAAGTAGAAACAAATTATTCATAATAGTCCTAAAACTATCAATACAAATTGTGCTTTCATATCTGTGTCAGGATATGTGTGTCTATTTCATTTCCTAAATTACAATTGCTGGATTCTGTGCATGCCAATGTATATTGAAGTAACTTTTTTTTTTTAAAGAAGGAACAAAAACAACACAACCAGACTCTCCAGATTGATTTAAGGACCAAAAAAAGACAGATATTTTAGCAAATATGTCAAACTCCTGTCCTCAAAGGTTTGCTGTCCTGCAGGTTTGAGATGTTTCTTCAACACACCGGATTCAGATTAAACGGCTCCCTTTAAAGGATTAAGTTCTAATGTTGAATTATTTCGAATTAGGCGTGGGGAAAGATTGAAAAACCTGTAGAATAGCAGCCCACCAGGACCAAAGTGTGACACCCCCTCAGCCTACACAAAGGAGTAACAAGCTAAAGTGGAACTGCCCACATTAAAAAAATAAAAAGGTATAATCCTTGGAGAAATTTATGTGAAGTGGTTTATGGGTTACTTTTTAACCTGGAAGGTCCAGTGAGAGAGACACAAAGCAAAAAAAAAAAGGAGCTGGAAGGCATATCTTTGCACTTTGGACAGAGCTACGCTAACGGCCGATAAACGACTTATCTCACGCTCTCACGGGAAATGTTTCTAAAAATATAGGAGTAAGTTTCAACCGCATTCTTTACGACCACAATGCACGCTGTTGTGATATAGAGCAGATCTCATTTTTCTCAGCTCAGTCTCAGGAATTCCAAGGGTGACCTTTTTGGAGCAAGGTGAATGGTTGTGTTGGTGCAAACAAATTAACGACAGAGTTTCAGAAATCCACACACACTGACACACACACACACGCACAAACACCATTGAAGCCAGCTCCTGCATGTCAGTTTTCTAGTGCAACACGCTTTGGTTATTACTGTCAATAAAGCCGATGAAGTTACTGTGGGTTCTGGTGTTTATTCTTTCTGCAAAAAGTGAGTCAGCTGACCTCCCTTTTGCCCTATTGGGAAGCGGGCGGCTTCCTTGGGCTGAAAGGCGGCATGAGGACAACAACACTCACTGTTTTTTTATTACCCAGAGACAAAGCGTTACAGGGTCAGGGACCAGAGGGGTTTCAAGTTGTGCTATTATATAACAAAATGTACCTTAGATCAGTGTTTTTCAACCTTTTTTGAGCCAAGGTACATTTTTTCCTTGAAAAATTCACGAGGCACACCACCAACCAAAAAAGTCAAACAAATCTGTAGCCGCCTATAATAACACCATAGTTATTCTTTTTATTCTTAAAGATTTTGTTGGCTCTACTGACCTTTAATGACAGTAGCTTGAATCGAACCCAGGCCGCCCGCTTATAAGGATAGGGTCCACAGATGGTTCGCCCGCTGTAACCATTGGGCTACGCTGTGGCCCAGCACTAGAGTTATTCTTATCTTATCTTAATTGTCTTGTCTTTTTATCATATTTTATATTTCTTCTTTCAAATTGCTCTTAACATGTCCACTTCAATATACAAAATTAAATACAAAATCTAGTCATAAGGAATTATTACATGATTACGCCACCCGTCACTAGAACAGCACAGACACTCAAAAATGGCCTATTATTTGCAGATAATTAATTCCTTATAAAAAAATGTTTTTAGACCATTTAGGTGAAATAGGATGATTTTCTACGGCACACCTGACGATCACTCGCGGCACACTAGTGTGCCACGGCACAGTGGTTGAAAAACACTGCTAGATGACTGTAGGTTAGTGTGTGAAATGCCTCCAGACGGTAAATCAGGCTGCTAAACTGCTTCAACTCTACTCTGGTTATCTGGATTCTGCTCCTACACTATCTACTGGTGACCTATTGCTTGCAGAGGCCCTTCTGCTTGATATCTAAACTGTTGAAGACAGGCCAAATGTTCTAACTTGGTAATAATATTCATTACTATGGCTTTTTTCTTGTTTGTTTTTTTCGCAAGATTTATTTTCCCCCTGCAGCAACACACTCACCAGACCTGCTATGGATCCCTCCCCCCTCTTCCAATTCCTCAGAGCGAGCCTCATGCATGTGACCCGGAACACAGCTCCTGCTCGGCTGTTATGACTTTCAAAGCCGAGCACAAGGACAGCAAGAACAATGGCTGCGTGCAGAAATAATATCCGAATGCTGTGGTGGGCTGTGTCCTGCAGTTCTATTGAAAGAAAACACAGTCTCCCACCTCCTCTGAGGCATGAGCAGAAAGTAGAAATGGTTTAAAGTTTCATCTGAAGTAAAAAACAACGAAAGTTATGAAGAAGAAAGATACCCAAATGCTCTGACTGACAGCTTCAAAGCAAAGCTTTCTTTTTTCTTTTTTTGTATAGAGGAACAAATCTTCTGGAGTTGAAGCAGATTTTGCTAGTATGGATTTTATTAACTTATCAATTGTTCATAACAAAATAGCAGGAAGTGAACTGAGTGTAGAAATGTTTCTTATTGCTCCGAAACACTTTAAGATAAGACATTTTTTATCATTTTTGACAATTCTCTTTTCTCATTTTTCAATGGATGCTCATGCGTTTACATTCTGAGCTGCATTTACACTGTATGCTCTTTAATTTGTTATTCATACACACATTGTGGTGTTATTTTAATTGAGAAACCACAACTTTATTGTTAAATACATTTAGCAAAAATTTCAAAACAAAATAAATAAAAAAAATCTTGATTTTGTTTTGAACTTTTTGCGTAACCTGTAGTTTTGAGCCCCTTGCGACAGCATTTAAATAAAATAATACAATAATAAGTCTCCCATCAATGAACACTGTGAGCTCTGTGTGGAGGGGTCAAAGGTTGGAAAGTTGCTCTCAACTCTAACCAAGAGGGTTGCTGTTCAAACTAATGTCTTGTGACGTGTTTCGAAATTTATCTGCAATTAGAGCCCCCCCTCCAGAAGGTTATCAACTTTTTTAACCTCATTGCACAGCCCACTTGCTCTTTAGCAAAGTAATTAACATCTGTTGAGTGCTGGCCATGTTCGTTTTGTTAGGGTTGTTAGTTGCAATGTGACTTTCTTGTTAAGAAATTTGCATCACATGATGTTTGTTACTTATGTATGCATATACTGTAAATATATATATATATGATACGGTTCAGAAATCTTAAAAGTGAATATGGAGCTTACTCCAGAGCCTTTTCCAGGTTAACGTATACTAAAATAGACCTTGCACAATAGACTTTCCAGCTGTGTGGAAGTCATCAGCTGACTGGCAGAGCTGTCAGAACCACAAGAACAAACCACTGAACTCCATGTGTTCATAGTCTGCGTGACAAATTATATCTGTGATAAAAACCCGCGTCCACGTGGGGAAATGTCGTTATCTCTGACGGTGCAAATGTTTTATTCAGTTTTATTCCGTCTCCCGGCACTGACATTGCGACCTCGGAAAGCAGGGAACGAGCAACTAGACTCCATTTCCCATGACCCCCTGCGACCTCGTCCAATCAGCAGGCGGAGACGCGCGTTCTGCCGGTCGCGACCCTTTTTTCCCGAACAGAAGAACTCTGCGCTTTCACGAGCAACAAATGGGCTCTAATGGCCGCTTGCAGACCGTGCGTGAACCTCAGCGTAAACCTGCTCGCCTCCCTCTTTTTTCGTGACGCACTTTACGCCCCGCGCATTTTGGGTTCATCCCAACCTTCGACGTTCATCATGTCGTCATGGTAGCATAACACAGTAGAGTTTCAAAGGAAGACAAGTTCCAGAGGCCTTCATAATGTCTCCGAACATGAGTTTCTAAAGACGGACAGATCCAGATCCAAACTGTCCAATCACACTCAGTGATTCTGTTCATCATGAACTGACCAATAAGCACGTGTTATGGTGTGGGGTTGGACTGGAGCACGTTGATGGGACAAGTACACACACACATCTGTCAGGGATTAATGGTAACTGAAATAGAGATGATGATGGAGGCACGTGATTGACCTGATTACAGAAATATGAAGGAAAAGTTGAGCTAGAAGCTGGACTAATTTTAAAATATTTTTACTCCAGTAGTAGTTCAAATATGTCTGTACAATTTTTGATTATGCTTTTTGTTTCCTATTTATATTAATTTCCATTGCAATGTTTCCATCTCTACTGTTCTGTCCGGCTGGACTGGACAGAGCGCTGCTGCCACACAGTGTTTGAATACTGCTGCAAATATATCAACACCAAACATTATGAAATAAAATAAAATACTTAGAATAGAGTGGTCTTCATGTAACAAATGGGGCAGTGTTTTGGTAAAGAGCCTAGCCCGACTAATTTGGTCACCTGTATTTCTCTTCTTTTGAGAGAAAGGCTTATACTTAAAAGGTCAGTGAGGAAATTATTCATCCATCAATGCACCTTACAGTTGCTATGGTTACTGAAGAACTATTTGGATTTATCCCCATCTACCATAAATCCAAAAGCAGTGCATCAGATGTAGAGGTAAAGCCTAAATAAATTAGTTATGATTAATTCAATAAATGTAAAGGAAATAAACTGATAAAAATGTAAACCCCAACCCCCCCCAAAAAAACAAAAAAAGAAACAGACTTTTTCAGGGAAACATTTTAATTAGAATTTCCATATTCTAATAACAGCAAATGATAAAACCTTACTGGTGTTTCTACAGAGGAACATTTTCCGCCACTCTTACTCGGCCGGGAGAAACAGTTTCAGCTTCTTTTCTTTGTTTTAAATCATGAGGCGCTGCAGCCCTCGGCTCTGTGTGGAGCAGCGCGGGCTGACAACATAAATATAGAAAACTGCAGAGTGCCTTGTGGAACTGTGGGGGGGGGGGGGTACAGATGCGTTTGCTCTGGAGACTGCCGCTCAGTGGAGGAGGAACTCTGGGTTTACTCTGTGAGGCCGAGCTTCTTCTTCAGGGACTCGGGCATCTCGGGGGGAGGTGGGCGGGGCAGGCGGAAGTAGACCTTAACCGAGTCGTAGATGAACCACTGCAGGGCGGTCAGCGTACCGATCATGATGATACGGGCAACCAGACCCTTCCATACACCTGAAACACAGATTAAGACACATAGTGGGTGAGCCATTTTGTTTAAACGCCACCGTTAAATGAATTCAGGCACGGATATGACATAAGATTAATTTTTGATCTGAAGATAAAAGACACTAGAAGACACTTTTTACAGGTTACAAAGTGTTACGGAGAGGAGTGCAGTTATTTACTAAACAGTATGCGGAGTGTACTGAACAGATGAACATTTACATATTTGATCTCTGGCTGCATTTCTATAGATGTGCAAATATGGTTCAGATAAGCTGAATTTCAGTCAGAGTGACGTTGACCTTTGCTCTCCAACATCATGTAGACATGAAGAGTTTGTTTTAAAAATAACCCTATGGAGAATAATCTGATGAGCCGTTTCAATACGACTTGTCCGCCCCCCCAGGCTGGCGGCACTGGGAGACCCCCGTCAGATGACCAGGTTGCCAGTGCCGCAGGTGGGCGGGGGGGGCAGGTAGACTGTTCTCACACGCCAATGACTCAAGCACCTCCAACTGTACAGCCACAAAGCTGCCGGGCGGCCCTGCTCACAGAGCAGAGCCCCCCCAGAGGTGGATCTAAGGAACGTGTCCGTTTAAAAAAATAAATGAATAAAAATGGCAGCGTTTATACGAACCCTTGGGTCCCAGCTTCTTGAGGACCTGGACGGCGGTGCTGCCCTTCTCCTTGTTCAGCACAGACACCACCGAGTCAGCGGGGTGGGACACGATGGCACAGAACACACCAGCTGCAAACGGAGCGGACGCAATCAGCCACCGTACCCACATCAGAACAAGCCCAACAGAAAAACGGACCCCGCGGGTGGAAACGCGCCCCACGTACCGATGTATCCGGCCACGAAGGTGACGATCAGCTGCTCGCCCTTGCTGCACTCGCTGCGGGGCTTGGGGACGACGTACTTGTAGAGCAGCTCCACGGTGCGCTCAAAGCAGGCAAACTTCATCATGGTGTAAGGAATCTGCCTCATCCACAGGGGCACCACGCCCTTATAGAAGCTGCAGAGAGAGGACCAAAGACACGGTCCGATCACATCTTCAGTCCTGGAAAAATGTCCCCACACGCCGTGGGGACATTCGTGTGGATCGCTCCAACCTCCTGCCACTTTTTAAACTCAGATCATTTATTAAATTACTGAAAAACTAGTGAGGATAGACTTTACTGTCATTTCTAATGATGGGTAACTTTCTGTACGGGGAGTACAAGTGTCCGCCCCCCCAGGCTGGCGGCACTGGGAGACCCCCGTCTGATGACCGGGTTGCCAGTGCCGCAGGTGGGCGGGGGGGGCAGGTAGACTGTTCTCACACGCCAATGACTCAAGCACCTCCAACTGTACAGCCATAAAGCTGCCGGGCGGCCCTGTTCACAGAGCAGAGCCCCCCCAGAGGTGGATCTAAGGAGCGTGTTGTCACAGATTAAATAACCGTTTTTCCATTAACCACCAGAGGACCGCTCTGGGAAAGCGCCCGAGTGAGGGGGCATGCTAGTTGGGAGCACACTTACGCCCAGACGCCCTCCTCTGCAAACATCTTGGGGAGGCATTGTCTGAGGGTGTTGGCGTAGCCTGGCTGAGTCTGGATGCGGACTTTGCAAGCCTCCATGGGAGCCAGAGCGATGTCGGCAAAGAACTCTGCGCTGGCGGAGGCCGCCAGGTACAGCGATGTCCTCCACAGGTATGTGTTCTCCTGTTGGGCAAAAGCGCATCCATACGATTACATAACGAACCCCAACGGCCATTACAGGACTCCCAGTGAACATGATATAAGCAGGTTCTATGCGTCAGAAATACGTAGCTCAGCAGATTAAAACGTGTTAGGAACCATTCAAAGCCAGCGCGTCGGGTGAAATTGTAGCCAACTTTGAACCGACTTACTCATCAAGATTTTACATAATTTCAATACCACTCAGGGAAGCCCATGCTTTATTTGTAAAACATAATGCTCAAAACTCTGGAGTAGCCATAACCCTATTCCACCTATATCGAACAAGCCACAGCTGGAGGAGAGTCTGGACTTTCAGGCTGTGCCTTTGGAGCACTGCTGGAGGTAAATGTCAGCCATGAAAGTTTAATCTTTAACATGCAATTATCGTTCATTGTAACTAATAATGTGTAACCGAAATGGAGGCTGTTAATAAAAGCCAACTTCTGAATAGACTGTCATGTACATACGTCACTACTGAATCATTAACAGCTCCAGAACAAAACCATGCTCGGACTTCTGCGAATTCATGAGCTGAATAGGGGCTGCTGTGTGCGACTCACCTCTCCCATGAGGTCGCTGTAGAGGATCTTGAACATTTCATAGAAGCCAAACTTGCACAGTCCCTGCATGGAGTACCCAATGAAGGTGGGGGCCCAGCCCTTTGCGAGACCTCTGACGCCATCTTCCCTCACGGTCACCGAGAAGCCGTTGCCAATGCTCTTGTATTTGTCTGGGTTCACCTAGGAGGGGAAAGCACAACACTGATTTTGTGTTGACAACAGGCTGCTGCAGGATTGGCGCTGGAGACAACTTTTTCTCACAGCGTATAATCTTCACTAATATCCCAGTCTCCCCATTTTTAACCCCTCTTCATTTCAAACTTAAATGTTTGTATTTTTAAAATATCAGATTCCTTTTATAATAATGCATTGCTGTCCTAGCCAAGTCAGAAGGGCAAAATCCAGAGAAACAGACTGCATGACCTGTTGATTCGGAACAAATTGTCAGCATTTTCAATTAGTGCTTAAATAATATTTCACTTTGGGCAATGTTTAACTATCTGAAAACAGGATCGGGTTACAGAAACTTCTCAGTGCCAAATATGTAGACAAAAAGATAAATGAAAGGATAATTTTGTGTAATCCACCTTTAACCATGATGTTCCATTTAATTTGAAATTACAGCACTGATGAAGTTGTAATTTGTTTATAATGCAGTAGACACCAAACATGAACATTTTAAAGCTGTACTTTGTGTTGATACTCACAGCTAAAGCCGAGCCAAGAAAATGTCCAGGTTCGAGTTTACTGTGCCAATGAGAATCATCCTGCAGTTCTGGTTTACAAATACGACAGGCAGTGAACTACCCAACACTCAATCAGGCTTTTAATACAGGCCAGTCTGTGCATCTCTAAAATTTTCCCATTAAAACTACAATTCTTACACGTTCTGTAACCTACTCACAGTGTTGGTCACTTGGGATCTGCTGCCCCCCCCTTCATTGCTACTAAAACGTTCTTCTTCTACAAACCTGCAGACGGCACTTGACAAGGTCGAGGGGCACAACTGCTGTGTGTGTTAGGCCGCAGCTCAGGATGCCCCCAAAACCACACAGGGCATAGTACTTTGAGGAGCCAAACTCGCAGCTGATTTCCTCTGTGGTAGATGGGAGGGGACACAACACACGTGCAACATGCAAGGTCGCATGCAACACAGGACAAATGTATTAACACCAAACCAGAGCAACATAATGGATGGGTTGGCACTGCAGTAGGTTAAAAAAAACCAACAACATATTCCTTATATAGATTCTAACTCGTGTCGCTTTGTGGACACTTTCAATTCAGTGCCAGGACTCTTCCATCATAAACTCCAGCACCAGCATGCCATCGAGATCATTCAAAGGTTGATTTAAAAAAAAATCTAAAAAAAATCATTGAACATTGCATTTCATTAAGAGTTAAAGGACATCAGTAGTGTTTTGCAAGTTTGGATATTTACTAGTGTCAGACTAATTTAATTTGGTACCATTTGTTTACAAGTTTAGATGCAGCCATCAGCTTCATCCAATACAGCTAACAAACATTTATACTATTGGAATGCAAAGATTTCCAAATAACTGGACAGCATGAAGTTATCCAACAAATGCAAAACACCAGTGAGGTTCCATCAATTTGATTGATCTACACCTGAAAGAAAGCATCAACATTAAAAAGAACATTTAATCATTTCAATCATACGACAATCCTATTAATTGTATTGATTTGTCACAAATGTTCTCAGAAGCACCGATGACTTTTCGATCAAGAAGTTAAAGAACAGTTAACTGCCAGAAAAAGTCAGCATTAATATACTCAATATCTCTGGCCGTCACTTTCCTTACAAAGTCCTGCCTGCATGAAACTCAGGTCCAACCTTTATCCATTTGTCCTCCACTATAAACTAAGCGAGGACGGGGGCACAAGGTGGTCAGGCAAGAACGGAAAAACGAAAAACCACAGGAACAGAGTGCGGATCATGCAATCATGTTATGATCACTGCACAATGTTAAATCATGGGATTAAACAATGACCAAACGCAGAACTTGAGCACAACCGGGGCTGATGCCTTTTCTCCCATGCAAATTTTGTTACGGAAGGAATATAAAATGACAAAAAAAGAAAACATGGGTGGGAGAGACGGCTTTCAGAAAAAAATGGTTCCAAGTCGCATAGACAGACCTGCATTCTGCATTTGACGAGATCAAGGGGAACGACAGCTGTGTGTGTGGTGCCACAGCTCAGAATCCCACCAAAGCCACACAGGATCAAATACTTCTGAGAGCCGAACTCACAACTGTCTCCCTCTGAAGAAACAAAGGTGAGGCTTTAGGAACGGGCCAGTGGGGGCTCTGGGAGGTGGAAACCTGGGGCGCTTCAGATATTTAACTGGTTAAGGATATGGACAAAAACATGTGACCTGTTCCTTAAATCCAAGTTTGATAGGTCATCTAGCTTAAAAAACTAAACAAATAAATACCTTTGCAAAGGCATCAACATTTACCGCAACTGGCAACAAGCCTTGTGGACCCGGAGAGCAGAATATGATATTTGGTCACATAATATCAGAATTATTTGGCAACGCACTTTTACGGGGCGTTATAAATATTTCAACCAAGGCAAGTCTGTACGGCCTTCTCTACCATGTTGCGTTAGGGGTCACACAATTTTGACGGATAGTTAAAAGTTATGCGACATAACTCCAGAAATGGCTTCATACACATGAAATCCTTTAACCGAATTCAAGTTTGACACGTCAAATACGGCTTGTTGCTTTCCAGAAGCCAATGTAACACTTTGTCCTTCCTTGTCCTCCACAGGCAGCCTGTTCGAAGTGAAGGCCTAGCGCCAAACGCCTCGTTGTTACAACTACAGTTATTTAGTTACAATATAGAAAAATGACCGAAGGCAAATCGTGTACCTGCGGAGCTGCAAAAAAAGGCATAAACAACAAATTAGGCAATGGTGGAAGGTACGACCGGACAAATCTGGAGGAATAGGCTAATGTAGCTAACGTTAGCTCTCCAGCTGACCGGCTGGCTTTTCATCGGCTTTACCGTCTACGGTTGCGGCTGCAGCGAGCCTGCGGGTCGTCTGTCCATTCAGGCTCTGTTGGGGTTCTTCCACTTTTTGGAGGGTGAAAAGGGGGGCGCTGAACGGGTTGCCCCTCGCCAGCTGCGTTAGAGCGGTCGGGTACATGGTGGTGTCCTGCCTGCCGGCGGAGCTACAATGCAATGATCAAGACGTTAGCACTGTTAGCTTAAGCTAACGGGTAACGGGATCCACTTCTGCCGACTGGCGAACTCCAACTGAAGCATTCTACGTCACGTGCTAGTTACATTAGTTTGACGTCTGGATGACGGTTAACAGGAAATAGTTGGCTAAGCTTGCCATAGAATCAAATAACACATTTTATCTCAATTCACTAGCTTATCACTACTGCGCAGTAGTCAACCACATGAATGCTAAACTTCAGACGTTATAGTGGTCCCCGAACACACCACAGACCCCCTAGCTGATGCTACATGGTATGCTACTTGGTGAGCTAAGCTAACCTGACCGTTCCAAGGTGGTAATTCTCTTTTCACATTAAACAGTGGTAGCTTGCACTAAAAATCCTAGTGACTCCATGTCTACCATAGCTTCACTTCCCATGAGCTGATAGCAACATTAACATTCTATACTAGCCACTTTAATTGAGAAATAAACTCACTCTTTCAGTGTCTTAAGATGGCGCCTCCGCTTAGCTTCAACCGGCTGCTCGGAGAGGCTGAATGACCTCGCGGTAAATCAATTTGTCCTTACGTGACGTCACAAAATCCCAGGGCGGGTCTTTCTCCCTCTCTGTCCTATCAGCAAAGCAGAAGAGCTGTCAATCCACGTCTCTAGTCCAATCACAAAAATGGTTCGTAAGAGACTGAAGGCGGCGCTTGCAGGGACGAGCGTGGGACTTAGAAAAATGAAAGGCGTTTAAATTTTTCGTTAAGATAGTACTTATCCTAATGCAAAAACATGCTCGTGTGTCAGTCAGATAAAGCGTTTGTGTGACGGAGAATAGGAGGAATATCTTAACTGGGTGAACTGGTGTCTGCTGCTTCTATATTTGTCCATAATCATGCAGTTAGGCTTAAAGACCCTCTCTAAACTGTGCAATGACGTAACAGCAAACCTGGATTCACCTGAGAAATGTATGGCAGTAGATTATGCAACAGACAAGAACGTGGAGCAGCTTTAGTTCTGGGTTGCAAACTTCACAACAGAGTACTTCACTTTCTTCCACATCTCCATGCCTTTGTCATTTTTTCCCCCTCAGTCTCACAGAATACTTTATTCTGCTTCTCAGAACATTCCTTATTTACTTCTTGTGTACTTGCAATGCTTCTCTTACATTGTTAGTGGGGTTTGCAACATTTTCAGCCTGAAAGTTAACTCTCCCAACTCAAGTTTGGACCATTCTTTTCAAAATAAAATATATATTGTGGATGTAGACCATAAGGTCTCCCACACATTAACTGCATTTGCAAATGTAAGCCCTTCACAGATACATAACTTTGTACATATGGATTGGAATTATCCAAGAACATCTTTCATACTAAGCCATATGGTGAAATACATTAATGTTATAGGTGATAGCTGCTGAGACATAATGAAATCCCCCCAAAATTGTAAACTTTAATGTAATGCAGCATTCTATTTTCTATTCTATTACATTTTTTGGCATGTCATCTCTCCACATCCAAGGTCTTTGAGTCTGTTATTACTGAAAACAGACATTCCAATGTTTAGAGTAATAACTGATAAAATCTACTTATAAGAAACCGTCAAGAGAAAAATAAGTTACAACTCTGATTGCAGTTCTGGAACAAAGTGAACTTTTAAACACAGGAAAAACAATAGTTTATTGAGTGGAAATTTATTATTTCAGACAGTGAATACATCAGAGTTGAATACACAAATCCATTTTTATTGTAAGAAAATAATATTTTCAGAGGCGGTGAAAGCTATTGGATTAAAATTCACAAAAACAAGCCTCCCTGTCTTATTAACAAAGATGGTCGATAGTAGAAGATACGGGTCCACTTTAATGCTCAGAGATGGCTAACAGAGGCAGACAGTGGCTCAAAGTGATAAAACCTCATCCATACTCGAGCACAAATAACCCAAATACAACCATGGGGGTAAAAAAAAAAAAAGACTCCCATGGCAATAAGAGGGAAGCTTTCACTGTTCTGTGAATGTTTGTGTCTCCGGAAATCGATAAGTGGCAGAGTTTGCCACACGGCTGGACAGTTTTGTCCTTTTTTTTCTTAATTGGCTCGTTGAAAACTGGTTGAGAAATGAAGTAAAAAAAAAAAAGAAGCAAAAAAAACAACACAGCTTTATGTCAAACGTAAAGAACAAATGGCTACAATGCAGATTCACACTTAAAAACAGGGGAGGCAGAATGAGTGTGCTTCTGCTCCTCCAGACTACTCCTGTGCTCTTTATGCCACTTTGTTTTGCTCTTCAAACGGGCTGCTGGTGTCAGTCTCCATGGCTTGATACACCAAAATCAGCAATCCAGCCACGATGCCGAGCAGGGCCAGCTTTTTCCATAGAGGCATGCCACGGTGTGCTACTTTTGTTTGACCTGCAGGGGGGGCTGCACTTAGGAAGCTGGCGGGGGTGGTGGCGGCGGGGGTAAAACGGGTGGTGGCCGGAAGGCTGCTGACTCTGTTGACCATCTGGCTCTCTGTGTGGGTGTAGCTGGTGGTCTTGGTCGTTTTTGGAGAGAAGAGGTGATTTTCATTCTTCCAGAGGTCGCTGGAGATCACCGGGCGACCGGCGGCTCCTCTGATTGGCCGTCGGCAGGTGGCGCTGTGAAGCAAAGACAGCAGAGTCCTGGTTGGTGAGCAAGTCCTCGTGCAAAAAATAAAAAAGCATTGACACACTGACTGAATTCCTCTCTAAATGAGCCATACATAAAAATCATGTAAAAAAACCCCATAAAAAGCATGTTGAATAAAAGTGTTTATCAGTATTTTCTGTTTAAGACTAGAAAAAAACAGTCTGAGATTAATCCTTGTAAGGGTAGAAACTCCCTTCTACTTACTTTATCCCTGTTGGGCTGCTGAGGTCATTGGGAAAGAGTTCCTTCAGAACATCCTTTTCTTCCACTTTTGTGGATTGGTCGCCGGCGGCGATTTTCTCAACCTACACGGGACAAAATCAACAAAGAGAAAAATTATAAGCGATAACACATTTAATAAGTCGGGTGTGTCGAATAGATTAACTGAAATATCCCCAAAAAATAATTTGTGTTGCTCTTTTTGTCGAGCGGGATGCACAATCTTATCAAACTTAGCAAATGAAAATCCATGGCCCAGAGGAAATATACCATTGATGGGCTTAATTGCCCAACTTAAACAGTATAACTGTCTATGAAGGAAAACCTTTTTAAAAGGTACTCATCTATTGCTGTCAAAATTATACTTTGTGTAAACTCATCAGTGTCGATAAGGAGAGAGTTAGATGCTAAGAGAGAATAGAAACCGATGTGTGTGGAGTGTTTATAAGTTTGGGTGCTCAAAAAATATAGCAATTGGAAAATGTGTGCTAGCGTTTTAGTCCGAAACCGATAGGATTTTGGAACTTATGGCAGGTTTTAAAGGCTAAACTATGCACAAAACAGAGCCATGTGTTTAATTTACGCTCCAATAGATGACAGCAAAGGCATTTGTGAGACTGGCGTGACCCACTTGAGACCAAATCCCAGTTTAAGTGTCGTGAATCAAGACTGATACCCCCTAGATAAGTGAACTCCGGTGAGATCCATGCGCTTTGTGACCGGGAGGATTCAGAGACAAAATAAAAAAAACAAACCACTCCCCCTCTGTGTGACCACCGTGTCTACTGGTGGACCCCCTTGGCCCCCAGCACCTGTCACCAACCTCCGTGTTTGTCCGGGCTCTTTCCGAAATTCTCACGCAAACCCCAAAACCGACCCGAATCACCGGTGCCACCGCAACACAATAAACCCCCCAAAAAAGGAGGAGCTGTACCCCTGTTGCACAGCCACTGCTGGGCCTGGAACCCCCCAGGGGGCTCTGAGTCTTTCTGGATGAGACGCTATACTCTGGCCTTATGGTGAGAGCGACCAGAGGTGATGAGGGCCTTGTTGGTGTGGTGGCAAGTCGTGGGCTCCATTCTTGATGCAGTCTCTTTGACTTAAGCAAATCACAGACTGGGATATGAGACAACATGTCCAGCTATACCAAAAAAACAACACAATTTTCAAACATTTTATCTACAAACCCCGGCTGTCACACACTGCCTGTGTCCAATTGTTGATTCAGGTGCTTGTTCGGGTTCCTGAAAAATCCACAAATGCATTCAAATCTTGAGGGTGAGCAACACCAGCCCAGAAATCCCGACACCTGACGCAGCCCTCATTGCTCCCGTGCTGTCTGAAACGATACCGCGGCTTGGAAAAAAGTCTGACCTCTAGCACAGCGGTGTTGAGCAGCGCATTTGTCTCTAGATGCGAATCCAAGCCGAGTTTAAGAAGACTCGGCCCCACTTCTTCTTCTCTGGGCTGTGTATTTTAAACAGGGACAGGGTCAGCGCTACGTGTCTTTTACACAGCCATTACCCCCACTTAGCTTCCCTCTAAATGAGATCTTATTCAGGTAAGTGTGATCAGAAAATTCTGAGGTATGACTGGCTTTTTCCATCCTTACTTGATGTTAATGATACTAATGTTGAATATATAAAAGTAGTTTCTGTTGCAGACTTACAAACCCCCCGGAAAAACCTACAAGGGTTCCAAACACAGTGCTTAGGGTTCACGCTGACAAATTAAGTGGGAAAACACCAAACTAAGTGCAAAAACTAAGTCCTCTTACACATCCCCACCTCCCAAAGGTGCAGTCTGAGATGATACGAGACGTACGTCAGTCATCTCTTTAACAGATTAGTTTGAAAGGACAAACACCCCTGAGCCCAGGTGGTTGTCAGTGGGTGGGAGGAGCCTGCTGCTACCTGAGCAGGTTTGGAGGCGACGCGAACGCAGTCGGCCCGAGCCGGACTGCCGGGCCGCTGGCGGCTGGGGCTCGATTCCCAGTGAAGCTCAACGTTTAAAGGCCTGAAATCATCGGGATTCATCTGCTGGGAAAGGGGACCCATCGGGAAAAAACAGAACGGAGGATGGATTGGTGAGGTTTCTACAACTTTTATGTTTTTTAAGGTGAAATGGAAAGGGCCAAGTATGAAATGACTCAAGGTTGAGAAAAGAGGAAGGGGTCTGGTTTTAGTTATACGTACTATATTGACTTATCAGACAGTTTTGGGTCAGCATCAGTGTAAAATTAATTAAAGTCATTTTCCCTCAAGCATATTTATTCAGTGGCATTATTGATAACAATCTTCCTAGTTCTTAATTCAACTACAAATGAACAAATATTTCAATGTAATGTTAGGCAAAATTTACCCATATTTCTCATAAGAGTAAACATGGGATATTTTCATTTAAAACTACAAACTTCACTTCTTTTTTTTGTCTAATTGCTTCTGAGTTATTAGTTACTTTTGAATACTGCGTGGTCATTAGAAAAATCCTAAATTTACGTAGACATTACAGACAATTTTAAATTCCAAACGTGCTACACTTTTATTAATTTTTTCATACATTACATTAACAAATCTTTAAACGGACCGATCTGAAAAATCGATATACTGAGCTATGAGGACTACTGTTGTTTGGACTCCTAAGGGTTGTAAATGGATTGCATTGTGGTTTCTGTGGAGAGGAAATTCACTCAATATTAGTGATGTTTTAATACCAATTTCTGCACACATTCATATCTAACACATAGATTCTTTTTTAACCTGCAGCCACACAAATGTGACCACTTCCAAGCTCAAAACGGCTCCTGTGGAAACAAATCCTAAAATACCTGCGCACGTATTGCCTGATACTCAAGGAACGCTCTATATTTACACGCAGATCTATTTTCATTCATCAGAGATTTATGCATATGTCCATTTGTGTTAGGGGACCAAACCAAGAAATCTAAAGTAAGTGCAAATACAAATGCTTTACATATAGTGAAACTGTTTTCTCGCCATAATAGTCCCTGTATAATAAAACCCTGTTAGTTTTACTTTTAAATTAATCCTGTGAGTCATCTTTCAAACGGTTAGAAGACAAAGACCCCGTGGAAAAGAAGACGCTACTGTGCACGTGGATATGAAGCTGGAAAGTGATCGGTGTGGATTGAAGAGAGTGAGAAACCGCACAGGTGGGTTCCAAAGAGTTCAGCTGTGGACACTGTAGGAGGGCTGTATTCACCGTTTTCTGGGATGACCGCCTGGGCCTGAGACTTACTCTCCGGACAGGCTCCTCATCATCCTCCTCCCCATCCTTCAGCTGGTCCCACTTTGCAAACACCAGCAGACGAGAACAAAAGAGCTTAGTTTGGAACCCTTTGGGAACATGGCTCCTGGTGCCACGGTGACAGTTGAAGGTCCAAATGAGGGAAAAACGAGACTTTATACACACAGACAGCCCCTCCTTTGTGGCTGATATCAGATTATACGGGTCAGCCGGCCACTTTTCGCATGCCTCTCATTCCTCAAGTCTCAGCTCAACACTTGCGCTTTCCCGGTCTGAGCAGCAGGAGGCGCTGTCAGCTGTAAGATTATGACCAGAGAAGAGCAAAAACGTACAGCTGGATCTCAGCCTGCACATGTGGGAGACGTATCACTGCTCTGATTTTCACCCACAAGAGGCCATACGCACAAAAGCTTCCAAAAGGAAAAAAGTTCAAATCACGGGGCGAATCCTTTCAAGGCTTCAAATTGAACTGAAAATCTAAGGTTCTCGGGGGTGGCGAGGACAGGACAGGAAGCAGAGGGGGTAAAAAGGTGGAAAAGATCTGTGCAAGGCAGCAGCTAATCCATATCATGTGCTTTGAATCTGGCCAGCAGCATAAACACGCTCAGCCAACGGTTACATTCTGAGCTGGGTGTGAATGAAAAAAAAAAAAAAAAAAAAAAAAAAAAAAGGAAGGGAGAGGAGGGAAAAAAACACAACTTCCTTTGCCAGGTTCACAGGAAACTAATGAGAGCCAGATGCCGGGTCCGTCCGCCCCTGCCTGAGAGCGCAACATCAGAGGTGGACACAGGACAAAGTGTTCAAGGTTTGCTTTTAAAATCCATCCACTCGTTAAAACTTAGGTGCTCAGGATACCAGCAAAATGGTATCCGTCATTCTGATTTAGTAAATCAAAGCTAAGCCCTCTTACTGTCATCCGGCTGAAATGGAATGTATTCAATTAAGAGAAAATTAATCTGATCAGTATGAAAGGACTGTGTGACCAGCAAACAAAATAATGCTAATTTCAATAGTTTACTTATCATGGCTCACTTATGTGGCTTGTCTTACTTCTACAGGTGAAGTTTGAGCTAAAATAAACTCTTTTGGACAAAACCTAAAATAAAAAAGGTACTAGTTAGAGACAAATGGAGGCTTGAAACATCCAACCGATAAGAAGCCTGCAATCTTTTTAACTCTGGACTGAGTGGGGAATGAATTTTGCAGCATTCGAGCTCTCGTCTCGAACTGCAGCCAAACATTCCATTTCCTCGCATTCCAGCTGCTGACTGGCTCTGCTGACGCCTGAGCCAGGGCTCCGGTTTGTGAATTCTATTCAGATAAGCTTTCGGAGCAGGATGCCACATCTGGACGGCATGCACAACGCTCATTTACTTGGATTAATTAAAGGGGCCGACAGTAGGACATTCTTCAATTCACTTTGGGAAAAAAAGATTAATAAGAACACAAAAACCAGAGTTGGAGAAGAAAGTGTGTTTAACTTTTCTTTAACTTAAAAGGACGGCTAGATGGATAAATCGAGATAGTGTGAAGGTCCGAAATAACAAAATATAGGGCTCTCGGGGTCGCAGACGGAGGTGTAAAAACTTCTTAAACAATATAACAAACTTGTATTTTCACTACGACATACTCAGCTCCCCTGACATTCGGGGTTAGACCAACAGAACCCTAAGCGTCAGACGTCTGCTGAACACCTCGTGATAGAAAACCGATGGAAGCGGAGATTATTTCTGCTGCCAGGAGGTTTCCGTGTGTCCTGCTACAGTCAGTTTAGCGAGGCCTTTGCTCACCGTTTGGTGCTGGCTGCTGCGGCTGCGGGTGGTGATGGGGGTCTTCCCTCTGCTCCTCACTGGTTTCTCCACCACCGGAACGGGTTCGGGCTCTGGTTCTGGTTCGGGTTCTGGTTCTGCAACGGGCGCTGGTTCTGTTACGGGCTCGGGTTCTGGTGCAGGTGTTACTTCTAATAAGAAAAAAGAGAAAGAAGAAACGTGTTCACACAACATAGCACAAAGGTGGGCTGCAGTAATGCAGGTTCAGAAAAGTTTTCAAAATGACGGTTTAATGTTAAGCTAGCAGCTAGTTGCTAATGTGAGCACTGGTTCACGCCTTCAAAATCTAAGCCACCAATTTTTTTATGGAAGTCCCCACAAAAATGAGGCCCTTTATTGTGGTTGAGGAGTGGCACTTGAACCTGACGCAAACATCTAACACCAGAAACCACCAAACAAATCTACGCTTCGATTAAGTTTCTTTTTTTTTTTATATTACACCTCTTGAGGGGACATATTTTAAGAAGATTCATGTGCTTCCAAAGCATCCCTCGATACCCACCATTGGTTTCTTACCTCTACCAGATATGGCGCAGTAGATATTGGAAAAACCCCATCAATGTCAGCTAAAAACACCCAGCTGATTTATTCAATTTAATTTTAGTTATATTGCGCCAAATCACAACAAGACCTATCTCTGAAGTTGTTAACAGAAGCCCAACTATTCCCAACAATTCATGACTGAAGCAAAGTCATTTGGCACATAAAAAAATTAATTAAGTCAGATAAGAAGTCAGATAAGATCACTATGGTAAATTCTGAAAAAGTATCCTGTGGAGATAAACACAGTGTTACGCGGTACATCCACCTGATGCATAGAAACGGTAAGAGTGTTCTCACCGTCTTCTTTGTCGCTGTAGACGTCGGAGTCGTTGCCGTTGTGGTTGACCTGTATGTCTGTGGGAAACAGCTGGGGCACGGGCGGCTGCGCCGCGCCGTCGTCCAGCAGCTTCTGCAGCTTCTTCTCGTACAGGCCACGGGTCGAGGCTGGGAAGAGCGGCAAAGGGGGATATTGAAGCTCAAACTCGCAAACGTTTGAATGGTAGACGTTAACATAGTGAGCAAAAAACAAAAAAACTAAACTTCCACAGTTGCCGCTGACCTCCTTTCCTTTACAAACCACATCACTTATGATACGGGTAACTGATAACTGGTGCGTGTTGGAAAATCCAGATTGAAATGGACATACTCCTTCTCCCTTAAGTCTTCCTATTACTGTAAACTCAAAAACAAATTTCTTAAACTTGCTCTTTTGAGGCATCTGATTAAAGGGAAGATGCAAAAATAATAGCAGAATATTTTACTGAAGAACTAGTTTTTAGACAATGGCAGGAATACATAAATATGCATTGGAGAATAGGTCAAATGTAAGTTTTAGCTGGTTTAGCTTTAAAAAAAAAAAAATCTATTTTTTTTTAACAAATCTCATGCCTGCAAACAGGTTGATATGTAGTACATGAAAGCCAGACCGAACCACTGATCTACAGGCTGGATTCCGACTGACACCAGCAGAACTAAATCCCTTTATTTTCTAGCGGTGTTACAAACAGAGAAAAACCACAAATCAGAAATTCTAATGGCCTTTCTGTGGCCCAGCCAAAGCCCAGGTTTGAGATGGATTTCACTGCAGATGGCAGTTCAGAGATGTTCTCATCCACACCTACAGGTCTGGACAGGACCTGGAAGAGGAATGCTATATACTGCCCACAGCCAAAAAAGGGCTGCTCAAACATCCGTAAACGTTAGACTACTGAGTTGCGTTCACACCTAGATTGTTGTAGCAATGATGATAAAAGCAAGAAACATTTGATTTTAACTTTAAAAATATTTATATATTCTGATCAACTGATTTCTGTTAAACTAATCAAATACCATACATATTTCCCTTCTGGTAAGAAGTGAAATGGTTAGTCACTCACTGGGACACCTGCAGCTCAACAGGTTGAGCTGGCATGTACGGGGGCGTAAACGGTCCTCGAAGCAGTTGTGTGTGTGTGTGTGTGTGTGTGTGTGTGTGTATATATATATATATAGATATATATATATATATATATATATTTTTTTTAAAGGCCAATCATTGGGAGAAGAACTTCAATTAACAGTTTATCTCAAATAACCCAACATTTAAATCAGATTAGATGTTAAAAAATAATAAAGGATTGGCTGCTGGTGTAGTTTTTTTCAGGTTATGGTATTCACAGCTGCTTTTTAAGTACAGCCCTCAGGCTCTGTTGAAAATTAACTAAATTAATTAAACAAATTAATTTATGACCTAAATAAAATTACACCCCGTGTGCATCAAGACACTGTTTCCTATGTGTCTGTGGGACTCTGTCAGCGTTGGTATGAGGAAGCATTGTAAACAGTAAGTGTCGAAGTATTTCCACGATCTGATGATGCCATCATAAGCACAACTACCGACTCAGCTATAAACCCCCCCCAATTACACATCCCATTAGCTTATCATGTGCTGCACTAGTGCCATCCCAGCTGATGTGTGCTTTTCACTGCTCTGTAACAATATTCTTTGGCTCACAATGTTTACATTTGCAATTCATTCAAGCAATTGCTGTTTTTCCCCCTCCTTAGCACTTTAAGTTAATGTTTAGTCTACGATTACACTTACATTTATCAGTGCTACTACTCTACCACGCTACACTTGATACTTTTATCTTTTTTTATCCTATGTTTATGCATGTTCTGCTCATCAAAACGGTCAAATTCCTTGTAAGTAAAAATATGTGGTCACCTGATAAGAAGCAGCTGACCTCAGATTTTGGATGTTTGACTGGTGTAATGTACACATTTAGCATTGAAAAAAAAAAGTTGCTTCAAATTCAAACATGAAGCAGGAAAGAGGAAGAAAAAGAAAACTACAAAAACAAAAGCTCACTACATAGATTTTCATGGTAATGGGTAACATGGGTTCCTCCCGGTGTGTGAATTGTGTACAAAGGCGGCAGAGCACCCACCTACAACCGGGCCCACATCCATGCCGTGCTTGATGAGCTCGTCCCTCAGGCCCTCGTCGGTCAGGGCCGTCACGTTGAGCTCTTCCGGCTGGGCCTTGTCCGTTTTCCGGGTGGCTTTCTGTGACACAAAAGCAGCCAGTTAAATAAATAAAATCACCCGCGAGTCGTGGATTTATCTTTATCCGGGGGGTGTCAAAACAGTCGGGTCAGTGGGAGGAGGAACAGCCCGGTGGCTGCCGGCCCGAGTTGTTTCCGGGCTCAAAAGGCTTCGTTTTTCGGCCGAGATCAAACGCAAAACAGGGAATTCAAATGTGGCGGCCAATCCGACGCCTTCGGAGTTTACAACAACAGAAACCAATTTACCAGAAAGCTGTGCCACAAATAGAGATCAGTGTTATTCACAGTTTGGCAGAGGCTGTTCTGACATGAATACATCACCATGGTAACAAGGTTATCACAGCATGTCATGTCAATACTATAATTAGCATTCCGACGATAGATCAATGACCAATTATCAAAACAGTCCTGTAGGCTGTTGCCACATCTAAAACACTAAAATATAACAGTCTTGATTCTGTCAATCCTTACTAATATTGAATTAAAAGTTTGATCCACGGACAATTCAACCACACAGACCACATCGAGTTAACCTTAAAAGATTTCAGCTAATTATTTTTTTTAAATGATCAACCCCTAAAAAGGTGCGTTGCCTTAAAGTAGGATGGCATTCAAATGATAGAAAATTATGTCGAAAAATTATTTCAAGACACAAAGCAGCTCAAATTGGACATTTGAAAGGAAAACAACAAACCGGAGAGAATTTAGGGCACATTTCCACTAGTGCCTACTCAGCACGGCATGACTGTACGCTGTATTTTTACATTTCCTGAAGAGGGAATAAAATTTATCTCATCTCATCTTTTTTTTTTTTTATAATGGGGCGACAAAAAAAACGTCCGATTTCATCATTTCTGTGACCAGGAACAAACCAACACTGAGGTTTGGTCAGTTGATTTGTTGTCTAGTGTTTGTTTTGTGTCTGTGACATCACGACCGTTTTGTAATTTGTAATGGAAAACCACCTAAAATGTGTCGAGCTGTGCCAGGCTGTTTAGGCCTGAGTAGGCAGTAATGGAAGAAAAATGAAATATATATATATTTATAAACATTTTTCCCATAGATCATCCTCAGAATGTTCAACAATACCACAAATTTGTCATTATGTCATTCAGCCCTTGTTGCACGGTTGTTAGCTTTTAAGCTTAGCTTGATTGATTTTACTAAACCCGCCTTGGTTTTGGTCGCGTTCCACTACCAGTGAGTGAGTACCGCCTCAGTGTGTGTGGGTTTGAAACAGAAAGCATCCCAAAAATGTGGTTACGCGACACTCACAGAACAAAGAAGGTTATTTGATTGATGAAATTCCAGGTTAACCTTGCCGTTGGCCCGTGTGTAGCAATTTACTCTATTGATGTTCACAGAATGACAGCTTTCTGTGAAGTAAATTCTTGTTACGCCGTTGCTTTTATGACTTGTCCAGTGTTGTCACCCTAAATGGCTACAACCAAACCAACACCAGGGTTCAATGAAGAGGTTCAGCCCTTATTTAGTCACCGCAACATTCATTGTTTTGTCCATTTTGTGTCTCATCAAATTGATGAGCTGTCTTGTGGAAATGACCGAACCTAAACCGAGTTGAATTAAGCCATGTGGGTAGTAGAGGAAAAGGGCCATTGGCCAAGCAATTGCCAAAAATGCAACATCTACCAGGCATAACCACCTGATGGAAAATCTAAAGAAGTTCATTAAAAGAAAAGATCTTTCATAAGTTAGTTGGAATTGCCAGTTATGCGGCATTCTGAGTCGGGGAAGACAACAAGCATGTTCGTAATTTCGACATTTTAGAAAAATATAAACAGGCCTAACTCATAATATCTCAAATCTTTTGCGTAGATATTTATAATATGTACACATGGATGCCAGATTTTCCAAGAGAACATAAAAAACACACAAAAAAGAACAGCAGCTGAGACTCAGAGAGCACAGGCTCCAGGCATTTTATGATAGTAAACAGCACGCTAAACCAAAGCGGCCCCCTCGCGCACCAGCCCACAGGAAATTACAGTGTTTGAAGCCAGCAGACTGAAATGACAACGCACACCGCTTCCTTGGCTCACGGCCACAAAGACAATCCGCCTCAGAGCAAATGAAAGAGTGGAAACAAGTTCTGTGAGCGCGGCAGCTACGGGGACTGCTAACGTGTTTTCACAGAACAGAGCTTTAATATTAGTTTTTAACTAGGCTAGTTTTTAACTCTTGCAGTCATTCTTCATTTGTTGACAATGGCTATTTAAACGGTCAAGGAAAAGGGGAGGCAATAGCCTGAGACGACCACTAACCATCTAAACATCTGCTGCTGCTGAAAGGGGAACAAGCATCCACAAAAATTAGGAAACAAGTATGCAGACAGCAGACGTGATAATAAATTGACAAAAGCTGATCCGTATCACTGCCACATCATTAAAGCAGAGTAGTTGTAAAGTAGATGTGATTGGCAAGCGAGTGCAGGTTTCACTAAATGACGTGATGCATGTGTAAACTGAGCATGTAAGAAACCTTAAGGCTTTCCTGTCATCGACGTTGTAAAATTCTGAGCAAAAATGTAGTTAGTTGTTCGTTTAGCGCTTAGAGGTATCTGGAGATAAAAATGATTTGGTGTAAACACTATGCTTTAGGCATTCCAATTGGCTGACATCAACTGTATCGGATCAAAGTCAGAGGTTTTCTCAAGCAATAGAACAAACTCTGAGGGGAAAAAAACAACAAAAAAACTTTGAAAACCAACCACATTATTTTAGAAAAGTAACAGAAAGGGAAATATCCCCCCCCCAAAAAACAAAAACTGTTTATGTAAGATAATATAGGTTTGCTGTTTCGGTAACAGATGGACTTTCTTTCTAAGAAATCCATTAAATTGATGGAATACAATCCACCATTTTTCTGAAAATGTTTACAAAAATCCTACAAAAACTAACGTCAGACATTTTGTCTGGATAAAAATAATACAATACAAGACATAAAAAAAATAGACTTTTTTACAGTTAATATTAACACCTAAGATAGTAAATACAGACTGACTCTCCATCTGTGTTGTCCTTTGGCTGCAATTTAATGGAAAAGTTATTATTGCTGGTAGTTTACACTAACAGCTTACAGGCAGAAGCTGCTCTTTGTTCTTTTTTTGGCTTCAGTCTAAACTAACTTGCACTCACACTGTGACTGATGTGTCTGGGGTCGTGAGAAGTAGCAAAGTAGATAAGAGGTGGTGCCTTGAGGTTTAAAAAGCCGAATTGGAGCTAGTCTTGTTTGGGGTTACCACAGAGCCACATCAAAAACTGCCTCCACTGAGTGTTTTCAGTCAAAGCAGGCATGCTAGGTCAGGGGATGTGTTGTTACACTTTAATCAGATAACTAAATTAAGCATAATTATTTTAATTTGTTTTAAAGGAACACGTTGGGAACTTATTAAACAAGTCCCAATTTTATGCACGAGGGAATTTTTAGAGCACGTGCTGCTCCTCTTCCTCACTAATGAGACCAATCAGCACAGAGAGCTGGCACATGACGTTGAAATACCAACGCACTCCGAAAAGTTGATCTTGTTCAAAACAAAAACTCGCATCACTGTCTGTTTTTTTTTAATATTAATACAAAATAAGCTTGGGAAAACCAACTGTCCTCAGCTCTATATCTCAGTAATCAATTCCATCCATTTTAATGAACCCCCCCTCCGACTGTGGCAGTGCTTTTTACACTGTGTGTGCAGTAGTGGAACATCTGTTTACACAGTGCGGCAGGCGGTGGGAGCCTCCGTGTCGCTGAGCAGAGAGGCTGAAGGCCGAGGCAGCAAAAACAAAGCTCTCTGACCGCGAGGGGTGCCGCAAACCGCCGGAAAAAACGCCAGGAATGCGACGGGGATGTGTCCGGCGGTGACGGCGAGGTGCCGCTGCAGCTCGGAATGTGGGAAATGGACGGGCCGTCGGCTGCATCTGGCCATCGGTGGCCCCTCCCCCCCGGATTCATCCTGGATTTGAGCCCGGGCGTTTCGTAACCGAAGCGGGCCTGGGGCGGGGAGCGGGGAGGGGCTTCCTTCTCTGCTGACGCCCGTTTTTTCATTTTTTTTCTTTCATGCCACTACAAACATCTGAGCTCACGGTTTTATGAAGTCAGCCTCCCACAAACAAGACTTTCCTTTACTAGTCCCCCAAGTAGAAGGATGTGTCACAACCTGTGGCTGCATGCTGAAAAAAAAAAAAAAAAAAGAAGAAACAAAGAAGATTTATGCTGCCGACCTGAACGGAACAACGTCTGCATGCCTCCTGTCGCACATTCCTCACACCTCTTTTTTTTTTAACTTCAGAACTAAAAGAAGCAACATCAATAAGGAAGGCATAAGGGTTTAACCGTTTCGTTTTCTCCGCGAGAGGCCTTTCAAAACCTCGGTTAAACATGTCAAGAATGTCGGGAATGAGCGTCTGAGCTGCCCATCCACCTGCAGCCTTTAATCAGCCAGAAATGTGAGCAATGAATTCCAAAAAGCATTAGGAGGAAAAAAGAAAGGCCAATGGTGCATGCTTTTTTTGCAGATTCCTAAACTTTCTAACCAGCTGATGTTATCGATACTTTATACAAGCCAAAAAAGTGGACAGTGTCAGTAGACATTTCCCACATAAAAAATTTTGGGGGGGAATTACGAGATTACGGTCATTATTAGATAGGTCATAAATTTTCTATCCTGTTTTAGAGGAGGACAGTTAAAATGAGGGCCGTGGAGCGTTTTGAGGAAATGTAACAAATGTAATCTAGAATAAATTTAAAAAACAAGGAGATACTTCATCTTTTGGCACGTCAGCATCAGATTATCATGATCATTATCAGGATAAAAAGAATATCCGAGAAAATTGGAATCTTTTCCACAGACTGAACCAGCCAGAAACTGCTATTAATTCTCCCCGTATTTAATAACAACTTTAATCTGGTAATTTTTTTATAGTTTTTCTTTTTTTCTAAACGTGGCCCTAATACTCTGTCATACTGAGAGAATTCTGGAGCGAAGGTGGATATTTTGTGTTCTCATATTGAACATTCAATGTCTGTGGAGTGTTTAAAGTAAGTGGCGATAGAGATTAACACCAGTGACTTATTTCATGAAACTTAAAAGATTTCTAAATTAATTTGAGGAGGTTTAAGTAGTTTAGATAAAAGGCATCCTACTGTAAAAAGGCATAAAAGTGAGCTGTAGCTGCATACTTAAGGCTCTTGTACTCAAAACTATGTGCGAGGTGTTGGGAAAACCATCTTGCTCGAACAACTTTCAACTGCCAACTCTGACAAAAAAGTATAAGAGTGCCAACCATTTTATTTTTAGCATGTTAAACAGTCTGAAAAAGGGCCAATAGTGTTTTATACACATTTTAGGGACACATTGACACACACGCATCAAACATTCCTCACCAGCGACTGCCAGCTTGGTGTATTAGCACCTTTGCTAACGTGGAACCTCCCAACAAGCCCAACATGGTGGATGTTAGGAGCGGCTCTAATCTATCATTTAGACAAACAGAGAGCAAAACTAATAAAGCTCAGGCTTGGATCTGTAAACATATAAAGAGCACTCTTGAGAGGCCTGTTGAAAAACGTAACATCTGGCGCCGAGTCCGATGTAGGCTCAATTGAAAGCCGTCCAATTACGGACGCTGGATCCCATCATGTAGCTTGAAATTTCATAAAATCTGGGATGGCTTCAAGCGTTGATCGTTTTTTAAATTTTTTATGGATATTTTTAGATTTATTGGGCCTGTGTTTACAGTATTTGAAACCTTTGACCGTCACTGCGTGTGACTGAAACATAATGAGATTTCCCGTCTGATTTTAAGCCCGTCTTGTGGGCAGGTATCCCGTGGCAACTAACATGGTGACAGAGTCCCATGGGATAAACAATGAGGATGTCCCCTTGTACATTGTTAGTGTGAGAACATTTTGGGTTACCATTAGAGATTTGAATGGAAACAGTGACTTTTTTCTTCATTATGGTAATAATTTTTTTTTTTAAATCCATTTTTCTTAAAAATAATGTTGAAAATCTCATGTGAACCGAGTGTCTCGTCTATCTATCATTCAACTAGGTATGGGTTGGTATAAGATTCAGACGGTATGACAACATAAGGGGGAAAAAAATACATATTTTCATCTTTTACTCAAAAAAGAATTAAAAACACAACAAATCCAGTTTGTTTTTACCAGTATGGTAACCAAGTTTTCTGCCTCAATCACAAGGTGACCGTATTCTTTTTGCTAAAGTTAGCTTGTTCGTTTAAAAGGAACATTAACGTCATCTTGACTTTGGCAAAGGGCCGTGGGTGGCATTGTTGCAGATGTTTAATGCGCTTCCTCCCCTGGCTGCAACAGCAAGCTGCTTATACGGAAGGAAGCGTATGCAGGAACATCTTCGTGGTTTTCAAAATGTGACTTTTACTTATTGTGATATACCATTAAACTGGTAATAGGCCCAATCGAACAGTCGATTGATTTGATTTAATTGGTTGCAAAAAAGGAAATTCAGATTCTATAAAGAGACGTTTGTTTTACCGCATTGCTTGAATTCAGCACCATCTACTTCCGTTTAAAGTTTTGCAATGTAGGCACGAAGCACTTTCATTTGTTTTGTGATGTCAGCAGAACTCAAACACAAGTTTAAGAAATTATTTGAACTTATTCGTCATAAGACCCAGCTAGTGTCACAACAGTATAATTTCAATATCGAAAACCTTGATTTGAGAGTTTTACATAAAGATACATTTAGTATAACTGTGGTTATTTGGCTGAAGATCATATGTTAGCTACTTCAATGAGCCAGCTTGTGTTTTTTTTGTTTTTCATTCCTTTTCTATCTGTTAGAATACTTTTATAATTTTAGTCACAAGATGTAAGAGAAAAAAAGGTTTATAGAATTAATTAATACATCAATGGCAGTGGTAGATTGATGCATGGATAACTAGATTGATAGATAACAGGACAAATGGAGCATCTCTGATTTTTAACTAGTTAGACTAATAAATATGACAGCGGTGTCACATCCTGAGGGCTAAGCCACTGTCTTCACACCATGGAGACGTCCCTGAACTCAGGACAGAGTGCAACCCTTTCTACATGTTCAGGGAGGGAGGCTGGTTTAACATCTGCCTTGATGGAAATTAAGCTAAACATTTCCCTCCATCTCTCACATAAAAACAAAGTGATGACAAATCTTGAGAAAAACTTCCAACAAATCAGATTTTTAACCTCCTCTAGATTTACTAGTTCGAAATAATCAAATCCAAACAGCAAAAGGTTTGTTTTGTTCCATGAATTCATATTAACTGACCGACTTAAAAAAAAAAAGAAACAGCAGCATTCTCCATCCACATTTTCCACACTCGAGTACGAACACAGAACAAAGTGTTACAGTCCAGAGAGAATCAGGGTGGAGCCTCAGCATACACGCCATGAGGAATGAGTGCCCCTCCCCAGGAATTCCTCTTTTACTACAGCTACATTATCTCTATCATATCACATACTTTCCGTATGAGAAATTCAAAGGATCCTTTATGAGCCCTCTCCATCCCTAATCCACAGAGCGCTGCCCTAACGACTGGTGAGACCCGTCTGGCTTGTGATATGAACATAAATACATACACCACCTCACCCACGTTTAGTTACAACCTGAAAAACTCAGAAAATGATTAATCGTGCTTTGTACACATATCAAAGCACACAAAGAGCGGCATCTCACTAACAACTATAACCAACGGTCCCAAAAACAAGTAACAGGACATCTGTACAGTACATGGTGTTACTCTTCCAAACAACAAGCGGGTGTGAATGGATACAGCTGACAAGCCATTACTCGGTCACCACCTTTGTCTGCTCACACGATCTGCTCATTGATAATACAGTCGGCCCCCCCTCTGACATGAGAGGCCAGACCGGACCCGTCCTGCTGCACACCTGTTCACAAGTTCACGTCCGTTTCACCACACGTGCTCATTTCCCCATTCACAGTCAACACTGCCGCTCGTCTGGCTGACAGATCAGCACACACTGCTGTTAAAACAAACACACCGAAAACTTGTGGCACATATAAAAAAAAAGGCTTGACAAAGCACAGGCTTGCTAAACACCATTCAAATGGCGTAAAGCATTAGAATGAGCTTGAATTAATAAACAAAAAAAAGATGTTTGGTCTAGGCATCTGTCCAAAACAAATTCAGTAACATAACTAGTCACAATGTCACATCTCAATAACTTTTACACAAGTCATAATACACTTGAGAACTCTGGTCTAGGCCAGAAATTATAGGGAAAATGAAAAAAGTCATATTTCTTTGGAAAATCACTCTGCAGTGGAAAACCTCTCTCATGCTTCCTCTGTATTTGAGGAATGCAGTGTGTGTGGTGGGAGGGACAGCATTATTACTATCAAAACAAAACCAGGCATACTGAGACACAGTTTGAAATTCAACAAATTGTAGGTTGAGAGAGAGGGAGAAGGCAATAGAAACTTCAATACTAATCCCCACCCCTCATTCATAGTCAACTAAAACGATTCATCTTAATCTTGATCTGGAGTTTAATAGTCTGTGCCATCACAAAAGGGTTAAATCGCTTAAAGGGATCCCCCAGTCCTCCATCAAACCCACCCACACCTTTCCAGATGTTAATCTGTGATGCTCTTTAGAAGAATAAGCAACAGTTGTGCTGATAAAAAAAAAAAAAAAAAAAAAAAAATTGAAGACACTCCCCCCCAGCACGAGTTCAAGTAAGCGGGAAACTCCGGAGGATGTTCGACCCTTACGTTCATTCAGCGTCTTTGTGTTACGGAGACATTTTCTGCGGTGTGGTTCAGAGGGAACAAAGACCTTGTGGGGGTTGTTGGAACGAGTAGTTTGCACATAAAGTCCAAAAAGTATCCCCGCACGCTGGTATAACGATGCCGTCATCACCGGGGCTTTTTTGGGTGGAGACCCACGGGATGAGTCCATTGCTGGAGCGCTAACTAGAGCTAATAACTTGTTTTAAACTAAAGGGAATCACCTACGGGAGTTACAAAGCGGGGAAAAAAACTACGTGTTTAGCATTCCACCGAGTGAGTCAACTGGGAAATACATTAATACGAGTGTTAATTTCCGTGGCAAACCTATGGACGATGCCATTATGTGACTTAATAGAAGTAAAGCAATGGCTACGAAAAGTAGCTCAAACTTATTCCATTGTGTTATTCTACGATGTAGGGGGACTCCCATGAGGCAAAATGGGCCCGGCCTTCGAACTCAAAACGGGCAGAAACACTCACCCGGCCGGAGGAGCGACTTCTGCTGGAGACTACGGGCGGCGGTAGTTCCTCGTCGCTCGAGAAGGCGTCCAGCGTCGTGGCCGTGACATCTTTCTTGTTCTGCGCGGTCAGGTTTTTCAGATAAAGCTGCACGTACACGTCCTTCGTCGGGTTGCCGCTCGGCAGCTCCACGTTGTGGGCCACCAGCTCGCTCTTCAGCTTTTCCTTGGTGAGCACGGACGGGTCGTCCAGGTATTCCGGCATGTCGGCGTGCAGGTGGAGGGACAGACTAGCCTCGGCCCGGGTAAGTTAGCTAGCCGACAACGAGGGTGGAAAGGAACACACGGATGGGAGGTTTGTTCCGTGCGGGACGGCTGCGTAGCGCCCCTCGCTGGATTTGTTGCGCAAAAACAACTATTAGCCAAAGAGGCTAAATTGTGCTACTCATAAAAAAAACAATACCGGAAAGGGCGACGAATAATTCTTGTTATGGTTGCTTACTTCCTCTTCCCCGTAGAAAGCAGAAATGAAACCATGGCCGGAGGAGCAACTATACCGGGGAGCTAGTACTAGGCTCACTCTGGTGATGCTATTGTGGAGAATTGACCTGTGCCGGAAGTGGCGACGAGGAAAAAACAGCCGTAATTGGTCAATTTTTGTGACGAAACCAGTCCTTATTGGCTGAAAGAACATGCGTCTATTGAAATTGAAAGCCTGCGATGTGTCCAAACACTGGACCATCGAGCACTTAGTCTAAATAATAATTACAAAAATGTATTTTTATTTAATTATTAATTTAACTTTAATTGTATCCTAACTTACAAATGTCTATACAAAACTTGTTTGTTCTTACTGTTGTATAAATAATTTCCCTGTTGAGTTAAAACTATCCAAATATTTTCAGGTAAAGTTTTTTGTCCTGTGATTTTAAAACAAATCGTTAAAATACTTGTGGCAATGGAGAAGTGTTCATTCTCTAAAATACTAAGTGAAGAACTGTGTTTCCAAACCTTTCAGTTCTGTATTGTTCAGGATTAATTAAACATTACAATAACATTGTTTGAATACATTCACAATTGCCAAAGGTGAACCTCATAAAACAATGAAATACACCAGACTGCTTTGTGCATTACTTACAGATAAAATTGTAATGCATTTATTTCACCAATGGACAAATAAAGCCAAAACAAAATGGAAAACTCAAGTGTGTTTTCTTTCCACTTCGACACAAAACAATATTTCCTTTTATTTGGACACTTTATATACTAAACCAGTACAACATCAGCAAATACTCAGTCATCTTGTTTTGAAGAAATGAAAGTATTTAATTTCAGTACAAACTGCAACTACTCCAGTATTTTTGGAACTATGAACTGAAAACAACTGACTTGGTCCAGCTCATTAAAATTTTAATGAAACCAAATCTGAGCTTTGCATCATGAAGATTAGAAGGAAGTTAAAATAATTTGAAGTCATCAGAACAGAGCTGATCAGAGAAAAAGCAGGCAGCAATGAGCCTTTGCTCACTGCTCTACTGCTTTACTCTGCAGCCCAAACTGCCCCATAACAACTTTAAAAGAAAAACAAGTGTGTGTGGTGTCTGTGTGTGTGTATGTATGATCATTGGTCTATGACAAATGGGGCAGTCGTTACATCGACATCAGTTCCTGATGGATGGAGATGCTCTGGACTCTGTTCCTTGCTGTGACCCGGCAGACTGTACAAGAGCACCCCTCCGCTCACGTCTTTTCTCCCATCTGGTTTCAACACGTGCCTCTCTCCTCAGGCCTTAATCTCAGGGGGTGAGGTGTACAGCTGCTCAGAGTTCTCTGTCCCCAGGTCCTCTGGGGATACAAAACAAAAGGATGAGTTCCAAAGAGGGAAAAAAAAAGTCTAAATATATTGCTATAAATCTCTTTTGGTACTTAGGATGACAAAAGCCTGGCTAAGAGCCTCAGTTCAGTTTTGGAAAATTAAGGACCCAAGGCTTTGTTTTCCTTTTTTAATAAAATAATTTCAAATTAAATTTCTTTGTTGCCCTTAATTGATGTAAAACTAAAATGTTATTGTCCAATTAACAATATACCTAAACCCATGTTGAAAAATGAATTTAGAAAAGGATACGAACAGAATAAGAACAAAACAAAACAAAAAAACAAGATTTCAACTTCTGGTGTTAAAAAATATGACTCCAAATAGCTGGCATGTTTATTTGAATCCTCCATATTAGGGAAGTAAATTATTTGCATATTGTCTATACATGTAGGAAAACATTCATATTGCGAAAGGGATCTATCTATAACTCAATTAGAGATTTACCGGGAAGAACACACTTCCACAGGCCATAGGTTTTGCCAACTGCTGTCTGCCACAATCGCAGCGTGCCGTCCTCAGAGCCACTAGCGTACAGCTCACCATCGGGACTGAAGCGAACACAGTGCACTGGGCCGAAATGGCCTTTGTAGGACTCTGAAAATAAGATGGGAAGCAATATTATGAGGCAAAAAGCTTTGATCCAACCAATTAATCAGGACACTGATATGGCCTATTAAAGACGTAAAGATATGGACATAGCATCATATTCACAGACATATTCACTGTTTTAAAATACAAGGATTAAAACAACTATTAGCATCAAGAGTTTGAAGAAAACACATTGTACTCCTCACCTAGCTCTTCCTTGGTGCTGTAGTCAAACTTGTAAAGCTTGAAGTCCTCACCACCAGCAACGAAAAAGTCTTTCTCAGGATGGAGGGAAGCTGAGTTGATGGGAGCTGGAGCCTCTACAGTTTTAATCATCTCCAAGCTGGATAATGTACATAATTATTGTTGGGGGAAAAATAAAAATGATTGTTGATACAGCCTAGCAATTAGCAGTAGACATAAATGATCTTTGAAAAGGTTTTTATTAACAGCAACTGTCTCACATTCTCATTTAGATCACTAGCAATGGTTAAAGGAGCTGGAGTGCTTTTAAGTGGAAAACAAACAGCCAGAAGCCTTAATTAGTTACAAATGCAACACTGTTGTTTCCCCTCTGCTGCCTCAGCCACACACTCGGTTGTGTGACCTAGTAGTGTTTTCATTACGTCTTTACACCTCTACTGGTTGTTGGCTTCAAATTCTTTGTAAAAAAAAAAATTTTTAAATAAATAAATAAAGCTTGCTGCTCAGAAACAATTCAGAAAAATGATTTAAAAAAACGCTGGAAAAAGTAGCTTTAAACCGAATCCCTATCAAAACCAAGTTTGTTCCAAGGACAATGTTAATTTCATACAGGGTCCATCTTTTGGACTATCTACAATCATTATCTTTTTTCCTCAAAACAAAAAAACAACACAGGAGATGGTGGCGAAGGACAGAAAATTTGATGTCAGTGCCAGAAAAAAAAATGGCATCAAGTGTTTCTAAAAAAAAAAATAGATCTGACATAACATAACTATTTTATGAACCCAGTTTTGATTGTATGGCAGTATTTTAAAATATTCTTTCATTTTGCTTCAGTGTAAAATAATAAAAAATAGATCTGTGATAGTTAATGGAGATGGAAAGGAGATTGGTTAGTACTTCATGTGATTCCATCAAATTATCTGGTACTAATGAATCTCCAAAAATCACATAAATTACGCTTCCGACTCCACCGACCACCTCCTGTGCCTCAAAAATTGAGTTAATACTCTGATCAAAGCAGGATCAGTTTGAGTCTGAATGTGCTTAAGGAAGAACATAGCCTGTAGATGTTTATTTTCAGTTGTGCTATATCCGAAAACCTTTCAGTTCCCCATAATTCTTAAAGACATGAATAACAATCTAATGAGCCATCTTTGCGGCAGCACTTAGTACTTTATAGAAAATTTAGAACAAGTTTAATTCTAGTTTACTGACAATTGGGTAGACTGAAACAAGAAAAAAAAGGCTAAATTGTGTTTAACTTGTCAGTGGCCTCTCAACCATAAAAATGAAACTTTTTAGTGTTAAAAGTCTTTAATGGGCAGGACACACTCCACTGCTGCTATATAATATGTAAACTGGGTACTTATATAGTTTCAAACTGCTTTAGTTTGGTTATTCACGCTGCTTTTACAGGTAAAAGCGATGCGATGGCATACCTCAGAGCATTGTAGAAAGCAATTGTCCTTCCGTATGTGATCACTAGAATTTCCCCCTCAGGGACATACTCCATGCTGCTCACGGATGTGTCAAATTTCAGAGTCTTCACCTCCTCCATGGAGCTCCTGTCCCAGAGTCTGGACACAGAGACACACATAATCATAGCTTTTATCCTCTTTCGCATGTTGGTTGAGCTTTTTAAGATTAAAAAAAGGTAAAAAAGCCACCTTTATGTATATAATATGTGTGAGAGATAAGTTCAGAAATATCTTTTACCAAACCATGGCATGGGGATGGAGGACTCAGGATGGGGGATCAAGTTTGACAGACACAAATCCGTCTTAAGGAAAGCAAAAGAACAGCATGGTGAACCGGAGCACTTACCGGATGGTTTTGTCGTCCGCAGCTGAGAGAATCTGCTTGTCATTGTTGCACCACAATGCTTTCTTTATGGCGGAGCTGTGACCTGCAATTTCTTGTGGTGCTGGAAGACAGACAAACACACACACACACACAACTGAAAAAAAGGCCCTCAACTGGACTGTAGTGTTCTCAGTAGACCTGAGACACTTGTTTTTTTGGGATGTTTTGGGTGCAGTAGGGTGAAAAATAGCTAACAGAATTTGACACTGAAGGGGGGGAACTTTATTTTCTGTTTTAAGTAATTTTCTCATTTTAATATTGACTGATTTGTATCAAGTTAGAGATGATTTTGCTTGATTTGTTAGGGTTTTGTTTTTTTGGTTTGTTGTACTTCTATTAGGTTCTATTATGTTCCTCCCTGATGTGGGAGGTTTAGGCTAGTCCACCCCTATTTAAGCAGCCTTGTTTATTTGTCTGGAAGTCAGCTTTGCTTTTGTTTTGTTACTGTTCAGTTGACCTCGGTGGAGTTGGGCTCAAATCTAAGTTACTTATTACTTGAGTTACTTTGTAGTGAGGTTTGACCTGTTGATCACTATTTGGATATTATTATAATTGAATTTTTTCTTATTTTTTAAACACCTTTTGTCCTTATTTAAGTCTGGTCCCTTCCACATGTCCTTGCCTAACTCAGAAATAACTGCAAAACTAAGTCAGGAGAGACAATTTTATTTACCCTCATTTAATGGTGATGAATGATTTTTTTTAAAACTAAAAACAATAAGAGCATGGTCATCGTCAATGATGATGAAACAATGCGAAAAAAAATTGGGAACAGCTCTTTGGGTTGGAGGGACAACCATATCTCTTTGTGCAGAGTTGACTTTTTTATTTTCGAATCGACTTAAAATCCCATGAGGTGAACTTGCTATGGGCCACTTCTTGCTATGCACTGAATGTTGGTATCTTATATTTACCATGAAGACAGGAGAGATTAGGATACATTTAAAAAAAAAAAAAAAAGGAAAAACACATATCTTCGTGTCATTGTTGTCTTACCTGCTTCAGGGTTGCTGAGATCGTATATGCGCAGCAGCTTGTCATTTCCTGCTGTCAACAGGCAGTTGCTATCCTAAACAACAGAGGCAGAGATTTATTGTGAAACCAAGCGTGATCTTAGAACTCTTGGCTTTAAGGTTTTTTACTGGTTATACAGTATCCTAACTAGCTAACAATTTTTTTTTTTTATCCTCTCCGTTGACTGTTAACTTTGTTAAAAAAAGTGTGGAAAAAACAGGTCCAATTCTATTTTGATTTTTGTTTTTAATTAATCTACATCATCCCCATTTTTTATGGTCGACTTTTTTTGAGTCACCACATAAAACCAAATATGACTCTGCATCTCTATATAGTAGTCAGATAGTTCTTAAACAGAACCCTCAGTTGGAGCAGATATCTTAGGAAAACCATTTAAACTGTAACTTTTTCAAAATATGAACATATTAATAAAATTAAAACCATTAGCCTTTTAAAGTCCAGGTAAACATGCGGGTTTAAAATTTAAAAGATTTCCATTTAAGATGGATCATAAAATTTCATTAAGAAATTTAAAAAAGGTAAAATAGAATTGAATTAAAAACAAAAATAATCTAATGTCTTGAGACTGGAAAAAAAACTCAAACCTAGCATTTCTTTAATAAAACAAACGTAATTTTGCCTTAGTTTAAACAAAGAGATACATTTATGACAGAAAAATATCCAGATAAATATAGTCAAACATGTCATCAAACATGCTGTGTGGAGAATTGGGTGTAATTCACACGCTGTGTTGATCCAGAAACTGAACTAACCTGAGTAAAGGTGACACTCTTGACGATGTGTTTGTGTGCCAGTGATAGAACCTCATCTCCGCTTACTGCATCCCACACCTTTCTGGAAGCCACACAGAGGATCCTTCAACTGACATTTGCTTATGTAGCATTAGTAATCTAAATAAACATTCATGGTAGGAGTTACAAAGCAGAAAAACATCAGTCATTAAAAAAAAAATCGAAAATAATGATAGTCGTTTTTTCAGCCTCCCTTGAAAGAAATTCTGAAACCATAGCTATGACATGTAAAATGGAGTTATAACATTTTAAACATACAGAACTGATACTATTGAGCTCTGTGTGGACAGTCAGACGGTACTCAGCCACCTACTCTCCCACCCGTTTACAGCGAACATCGTTAGTCGACATCGAAGGCCATCTGGCATCAAGTTTCTCATCCAATATTTTCTCAGAGGTTGTTTGGTATGGCTCAAGAAACTACTGAATGATTATTGTAATATCTCTGTCACTGCACAAAAACACCGGTTTCTTTGATATGCACCAGTGCAGCACTGTTGTCATATTCACTAATTAAATTGACACTCGCAATGCAGTCATGTCAAAACATGATTGGACTGATAATTTTGGCTTAGTAAAGATTTCCATTATTTCCATGTTTAAAAAACTGAACAACAACATGAAATACACACATTTTACATAATTTGCAATATATCCAACTTTCTTTATCCAGTCTTAGATTTAGGTGCGAACTTTCCATTTTTCATCAGTGTGCTGAGGAACAAGATTTGTTGGATTGGATAACATTTTCATCCCCGATTAGATTTCAGTTGTAAATTGCTCCACGGTGTACCACAGACAATGCTACACAACTCTACAAAACTGAGGTGCAGTCAGACTAAAAGAAAGAAGCACGTATCTGAGAAGGCCACAGGTAGACAAAGGTTTTCAAAGATTTTGTTTGCAGTTGGCTTATTTGGACTTGTCCAAAATAGCTGTCATGACAAGTTTGGGTTCTTATACTTACAGATTCTGGTTCTGAAGTAACCCACAACTTCCAGGTGTGAAGAACATTGATTAGCAGCACTTTTCGATTTTTTTTATCAAAGCTGGACTACAGATATACGCTTGACTACACCATAGTCTGATCTGAGAGTTAACCTTAAGTGTATGCTTTCCCACTAGAATACATTATAGTGTTAACAGAATGTCTCACATGTCATTAGAGAAAATATTTAGAGTGATTCGGTCACTTGAACTTCACAGGAAGGTGTGTGTTAATCATGGTACTTGGACAGAGGTGGCCTCTACACTCACGCTGTGAAGTCGGCGGCGGCGGTGGCCGCCTTTGTGGCATCTGTGTTCAGAGTGGCTCCCCAGACAGCGCCTTTGTGACCCAGAAACGTTCCTATCCAGTCCCCTGTGTCTCCCTGGCGCAACATGGGTTTGCCATCTGAAAAGAAAAAGAGGATGTGAACATTACAGTATTGACGCCACCACATCAGCACCAAGTCTGTCCGGCGGTCAAGTGGAGTCTGAGGAGCAACAGTCAACCCAAGCCTTGCTAAATTTTAATGTAAAACTTCATGACAGCAAAGTTACTGACAGGACAAAACCCCATTCAGTTGTGTCATTTAGAGCACATTAAACAGAAACAAACTGAGAATATTTTTTTAAAAAGTGACACACATTAGAAAATGTGTCCCCCAACAACAGAACAAGACATGAAGATAGCCAGTATTTCTACCAGGATCTACATCGTCGCTAACGTTCAGTTCAAAGACCTTTTGACAACGGTTTTTTCAAACCTAAAATTATAACTGACAGGTCGGTCTCACCTTTGCAGGCGCTGATTAGAAAGTACCCATAGGGAGTAATTCCACTGAAGGCCAGGTCCACAACAGGTCGGGTGTGACCAGAACAGGTGAGAGGAGTCTGTCTCATCGCCATGGTACTTCACAGAAGACGGTTCGCAGGGGGGGGACGGAGACAGCAGAACGCCAGCGGCTAGCTAACTAGCACGTTGAGGGAGCTAACAAGCTAGGAAGGAAACAACAAGCTCGCCAGTACTTCGGTGGTTAGTTTCCAACGGCCAACAGTTGGCCTCTATTCAAACAGTGAATGGGACAGATATGACGGTTTGCCAAAACAGACTAAGGGCCTCCTCCCATCAAAGGAACGGCTAGCGTGCTAATAGCTACAACATTGCAACTAACTAGCAACGTGCAACGCGGCGTAACTACCGTAGAGATGATATAGACCGGTATGTTACGCCAGCCTCAACAGGGAAAAGCTTCCGGATTTCAAATTTTCACAATAAAATGTTCACATTGTAGCTGCACAAGTACATTTCAATTTATGTATATATATATATATAGCTCTGATATATTTGTAAATATGCCCTTTTATCAATGCATTTATGAATTTATATTAAAAGAAAATCTGTTGTCTTCATTTGGAATTTTCCCCATGGTGGACAAATAAAGTATTTTTCTATTCTATTCTTTCTACAATGACTCATGTGTTTGAAACACAAGATGATCTGAAAAGTTTTGCTAATCTATTCAGATGACTACATTATGGGACTTTTTGACTGACAATTTTGACATTATTACTATGGTTACAAGGCAGATTGAGCTGAGTGTTCACCTACTTTTATCAAAACTTTATTTGACCAGGAAAATGCTAATTGAGATTTTTTTTTTCAATCTAAATTATTTTCCAAGAACGTACTAGTTTAAAGCTCAAAACTTTCAAAAGATCATAAAGTGATTTTCAGGTGATCTGGTTTATTGTGCTGCATTTATTTTTTAAATATTGTATATGTGGCATCAGTATTTCGTTTATTTATTGTATTGCTCTTGGCTCAGGGAATGTTGTTTTGTTGTGAAAATTCTTGAATAAAAAAAGTTTTTAAAAAAAAGTTTAAAAAAATCATAAAGTGGAGGCAGAGAGAAAGCTTTTAATTGTAACATAGGCCTTTACTGTATGTGCATGTTTCTTTGTCTGTGTGTGTAGGCTCTCAGGATGCATGGAAATCAAGCATAGACACTCATTCAAGTGTGAAACAAATCATATACCTACAGCCTAACTGTGGAAGCACTTGTATGGGAACGTGTTCAATTCAGTAAGTTTTATTGACATTCTATAGTGAACAGCCCAGCTGCTTGAAGCAAATATTTGCTCTTTTTGCCAGCAGAAAAAAAAATAGGCTAATCATTTAAGATGCAGTTGATGTATATTCATATGTATTTGTTCATTACCACGTTATGTGTGAAAATCGGTCTATTATGTGTTTGCAAGTCCCACTAGGGGCGGATGGAGCGTCTCATCTGCAGGGGGCGCAGGCTGCCTGTGCACAGCCCGCCGGAGGAACCAGCTCCTCCCGGACCCGGAGGCTCGGATCTGGGCGTCTGCGGCAGGAGGGCAGCGGGAACCAGTGAGGGAGCGTGCCTTGGGCTTGAGAGATGGCGTCCCGATGCCGGTGAATAAGCAGAAAAACAAGCGTAGAGGGAGGGCAGGGCAGCGGGATGCGCGCGGCGGATGATGACAAGCCGCATCCTCCTCATCCTCCTCCTCATCATCATCATCAGAATCACACACACCAGATGACGCCCTCCGAGACGATGGAAGCACTTTAAGGGACTGTCTTGTTTTTCAGCACATGTTTTATCTTTGGATTTGAAGAGTGAAAGAGGGGGGGGTGTGGGGGTGGAGGGGGGGAAGGTGGAGGCGGTGGGGGGGGTCCGGTGTCTGCCTCAGCTGTTTCTCCCTCCCCGTCCGACGCAGGGAGGAGGAGGAGGAAGAGGAGGAGGAGGAGGAGAGGGCAGAGGGGGAGGGAGGCAGGGGCGATGGCCGCCGGCGGAGCGGGATGCGCGGACACGGCGGAGGAGTGCCGCGCCGAGGTGGAGCGCCTCAACCGGGAGCTGGCCGAGGCCAACCGCGAGAAGGTGCGGGCGGCCGAGTGCGGGCTGGTGGTGCTGGAGGAGAACCAGAGCCTGAAGCAGCAGTACGCCGACCTGGAGGCCGAGCAGGAGGCTCTGAGGCAGGAGCTGGAGCAGCTGCAGGAGGTGGGCAGATCAGGGGTATGGCTCCTTACTCGGAAGTGTTGTGTCTATATAGGTGGGAGGTTTTGACAAACTCATCGTGGTCGATGCACATATTTACAGCCATTCCCGACCACTGGCTTGCTCTTTGTGCTTCAACTCGGCTGACCACCTGGGCTTTACACCTGCTGGACAGGCTCAGGGTCAGTACAGAGAATAGCCTGTCCATTTTTTTTAATGGAGCATCGATAGCCCCTGATCACCAAATTATGTAGTTTTTTGTTTAAGTTGTTGTCATGGTTGAATCGTTACAATTTTTCGGAGACACCACACTTATTTGTCTAATGACCATGAGCTTCCAAATAACCTTTCTCTTTGGAAAGTTAACTTTTTCCATTTGATTTTTATTTGGGATATCCCCATTGTGTGATTCCGAATAGTGTTTGTGTCTTTGAAAAACTATATTTTTTTTCAATTTTTGTTGCATCCACATAAGTGATGAGCGAACTTGAAGTCAGGTTTTATTTTATTGTAATTTGAACTGTAGAGTAGTTGATTTAGCACAAGTAATACAAAATCTGTAATACAATAAAACAAGACAGTAACAAGACAGTAATAATACAATAATAAGACAGTAATAAGACAGTAAAAAGACAGTAACAAGACATTAACAAGACAGTAACAAGACAATACAACAAGACAGTAACGAGACAGTAATAATACAGTAATAAGACAGTAATAAGACAGTAAAAAGACAGTAACAAGACATTAACAAGACAGTAACAAGACAATATGACATATACAACATATACAATATGACCACAATACAATAAGACAGTAAGACAATAAAAAATGTAAAAGGTACAGGGCAGAAACAAACAGGGGGAAAGGAGGAGGAAAAGCACACAATTTCTCATCTTGATTGACTGTAGTTTAGGAGGAGGATCTGTCACTTATTGTGGTTTATGGTTCATTACTTGTCTTCATTGGGCCACTTGTTGAAGTATCCTTGGGCCACACACTAAAACCCAAGTTGCCAGAACCACTGACACATGTGTGAATTATTATTTGTATAGAAAAAGCTCTCTACAGTTTAAGGAGTGAACAAATATACAGAGAAAGAGCTCTATAAGTTGTCATGTAGTCTAGAATATTCAATAGGAGTGTGTCAGTATTTGCAGACTTCAAACTACTGACTGTGGGTTCCTGTCCATGTTGTCTGCTGAAATCTACGTATGCCATTTGTGGTCTTATCAGCTTGTTACCAATCTACAAAACTACAACTGTATGATCGCAGTCATCCATAGACCTCTACCAAATCTCTTAACAAGTAAAAAAGTTTCCAGATACATGTGAGATGATGATTATTTAACTTCTTTATCTAGTCATTATATTATAATATCACTGATAAGAGTTCATACTGCAGCATTCTAATTTACCTTTGGTGATAAATAAAGTAATATTCAGTTGAAATTACAACAAAACTGATTGGTTTTGGTCAGATACATGCCAAAATCCTAGTGCTTGAAGCCATTGACTCATACCAACCACTTTAAGATCAGTCAGTCAGTATCACGCGCTGGCTCATGTGTTTTTGATTTGTGTCTGGATTAGACAAAAATGACATTAAAAGATACTGAACAGCTGCTGCTTCTCTGCTAAGTGTCACTGGGCTTGCGAATGCCTTCAATCATCACATTATCTTCACATTACACCCCTACATTCGATCCATTATTCTTGTGAAAATATTATAATAGGCATCTTAGGCACGTGGTGCTTCTCACTTTCTGAAACGTTGATATTTTCACAGCATGTGGTGAAAATTGGAAGAACTAAAGCAACGACTAAGGCAATTTTGCTGCCATATTTTTGTTTATTTTGTGCAAATATGAGCGTGTATGTGACGTAAACACTTGAAGACTGTATGGTAACTTTATTCTTATCAACTTCTACCTCAAATATTCCCCAAATGTAATGCTGTATAGCACAATATCGGATGACAATGTCTATTTTCTTTTGCCTAGTGTTATATTTAAGAGGTGATTTGTTTCCTGTGAGTCCTACAACCATTGCCATGAGCTCCATTGGCTTGATTTAAGATCAATGATTTTTTAAAATGACATTGGAGTGGTGTTTTCCAGCATTTCAACTTAGCTCGATGTAAGAAAGATGAGCTGGATTGGAATGTGGACAGCCCTGTTACATTTTGAGTTTCAGCCTATGTCTTTGTGTCTGTGTGTCCAAGAATGAAATTTGACATGTGATACTTTTAAGACACTTTCTAAGCATTTGCATCCGCTGCCTTTTGCTAATTTAGCTGCCTCCTTAGCACTGTGACAATCATTATAGCTGATGCAATCAAAAGGTTTAGGACTATGATATGTTGAGATGTTGAATAGTGACGCATAACAAAGGTATACTTGTAAGGGGAACACCTATGGGACGAACTGTGGGAGTAACTGCAGTAAAACACATCTTTGCCCTTGCATTTCTAAATTGTAACATGCTGTTGGCAAGCACACATATATAGTTCTACACTGCCCTTTAACTGCCCTACTATGACTTACTCTTTGTAATTAACTATACAATATGTTGCTTTACAGTATGGGCCATTCTATGCATACAGTGCTTTTTCTCAGACATATACACACAAACAGAAGGAAACAACTTACATTCCAAAAATGTAATATCCAGCATGATGCTAAGGTTTAAGTTTCAAGCTTAGGCTTTAAAAATAAATTAAGTCTTAATGATTCACCTTAGATATAGCTTATTACTGTCTCATTATCAATGATTTGGAGGATGTACTTTTAAGAAGAATTAAGTGTGTTCAGCTTCAGTCACTGAGCTTCCAATGGTTGGTTCTTCAGAAAGGTCTGTGATTTAATGCTTTTCTCACCGCTAACTTTAGTAAGATATTTCATAACTGGGTGAATTATTTCCACATTTTTGACAATGTATAAGAAGCACGTTGAAATGTTGAAAGTGAAATGTTAAAAAAGATGTCATCACGTTATTACGGTCCACAGTAGCTGGACCCACTTTTGGGAACTTGACAGTAAAATACAATGTCTTTCAGACCAACAATACTTTAGAAACAGGGTAAAAAAACAACAAAGAGATTCTCAAAAGTAACTACTAAAATCACTGGGAAAAGGTACAGGAAAAAACAGCAGAAAATCACCGCATAGAGGGGAAAAAATTACCATAAAAGCTCTGTGATACAGATG